CGTGTGATACAAACAACAACCAAAAACAATGATCATGTGTATTTGGATGATGATTATCAATAAATATATTTATAAAACATCAATTTAATGGACAAAGAAAATTTATTGATTTTGAACACGCAATAATCCGATCGCCAATAATCGATTATTATTAGTTTTCTTTGTGTTTGTTGACTTTTGTGATACATATCTAGCTTAACCAATCAACCTGAACAAACAAAATAAATCGCAATTTGACTATACGAATATTTTTCTTTAACATCAAATATAACATACATAAAAAAAAGAAAACAATAGAAGACCTGAAACACACGAATCAGCCAAAACCAATCAAAATAAAGACATCTGAATATAAGAATCTAGAAATAAACAACGGGTAAATACAAAAAGAAAAAAAGAAAAAAACGAATGCCATTTTCAATTCTGAAATCTATATACGCTAGAATTGATTCAACTTGGTAACATTGCATTGCTGTTGAAAATGATTCTGCAAAAAACAATTGATGCATCATCATCATCATGAGCAAAAACAGATAAACACAAATGGTAAAATAAAATTATAAAGAAAAAAATATATACAAAAAAAGAAAGAAAGAAATTCTTCACTATTCATTCATTCAACAAAAAAAAATTTCCAACTATTTGGTTTACGAGTAGAAAGAAATATTTGCTTTTTCCCCATTTGTTTTTTTAGCCTGTTACCCAGGAACAAAGATTCTATTTCAAATCAAGTATTTCTATATTCTAGGATTATTGTTCAAATTGATCGTCGTTGTCATCATTTTATGTTTGTTGTTTTATTCGGTAAAAAGGGTGATAAATTTTATACAAAATGGAAAAATGTTTTGTGTGTGTGCATGCATTGGCTTGAGCTATGTGATTGCCATTCGAATTCATTGAAACGAAACGTTTTTTATATTGTCTATTTTCGAAAAAAAAAATTTAAAAAAAGAATGAAAGAAATTCTGGATTGAAATGAAAAAAAACTATAGCCTAACCATGTGGTTGTTGGTCTTTCATCTTACCATCTTTCTATTCTTATTTGAGTTCAATTCCTCTTGAAATAAGTTGTTTGCGTTCATTCATTCCTATATGTGTAATGGAAGCTATTTGCTCGAAAATCACAGATCGACTATATATAAAATAAAATAAAAATGTTACATTGTAATCGGATCTATGCATTTGTTTATATGGATCAATTTAGTGGTTCTTAAATTTAATAAACGATCTATTAAATAGTTTCAGATGAAAATGAAAATTGATATCGAAAATGAGAAAAGGAAAAGAAAAAATCTTTTTTGGCGATCACCTATTATTCATCGACAAATTGGTTTAGTGGTCTTAGAAATTGGCCAATTTAATTGGAATTATAACCAATTACAAAGTGAACAAGAATAAAAGAAACCAAAAAGGGTTGGCTTTCATGAAAAATGATGATCTAAAAATCAGTAGATAAAATTATGTATCTTATTGAACTTATTTTCTATTAATTTGACCGATTGATCCCAAGAGAACAAATTTTGATGTCTAAATTTTATTACAGATATATTTCTGATAAAAAAAATACCAAAGAAAAATAAAGACATAAGAAAAGTAATTGTCGATGATTTATCTTAATCAGATGTTCAATATTTATAGGCAATCCAAACATTTTTGATATATGTCTTATGCGTGTTTGTAAGTGTTTTGGGTTTATATTTTTCAAATAAATTGAACCCAATTCTTTTGGATGAATTCCGAATGAAAAAAAAAACAGAAACAAGAATGTTTGTTGCAAAAGGGCAGAAAGATGAAACATTTTTGACCATCAATATTGTGTTTTAAAGATAAATGAGAAATGAAAATGAATCAATCTTTCTGTTTTCAATATTTTTTTTGTACATAGAATCTATTCGCCACAACAAAAAAAAACAGAATGCAAAACAAATCGAGAAAAAAAAGACAGACCGACAAACGGATGGATAAATACAATTTGTATCTGTTTTGCCGATGATCCACACACACACACACACAAACGGTAGAAAGATCATATAAAGTCAAAAGAATAGTTTAGGCTGGCTTTTGATATTCGTTTTCTTTGTTTTTCTCTTTCTCTAGCTATTCTTTCGCTCGAATTGTAGCGATAATAAATCACCAAATTTAGAACGATCACTTTGTTTTTTTTTCTTTTTTGTGGCATTCTCTGCTGTATATTTTTTCTACCAAAAAATCTAAATAAATAAATGGGCAATCAAAATATATCAGAAAAATAGATGAAACAAAAACAACAGAATAGATAGATACAGGAAATGACAGGACCAGAAGAATAAAAGAAGACAAAACGATGAATATGAGATGAAGAAAGAAAAAGATTGAAATAAATTGTTTTGAGAAACTGAACAAATCAAAAAAAATCGAGATAAATGATTTTTGTCTGTTGAATTTGAGTTCGCATTCAATTGAAACCAAACGTTTCAATATGAAATTATAATGAATTTGATGTATAATTGGAAATGAATATAGATATTGAACAGAATTGATAATCGGTAAATGTATTTGCCTGGTTGAAATGAAGTGCATGATATAACCAAAAAAAGATTAAATTAATGAATCAATGATGTTTTCACACTGAATCAACACCTGAATTGTTTAGAAAAAGCTGGTTATTTAAAATTATATCAAGCATCAATTTTATATAAACAATGACTATAATTTTAAACTAATCTTTTTCTTCACTTAAAATAAAATAAATCGAAATCCGTAATCAAAACAAAAAGCAAAGAAATTTAAATTTATTGATGGTAATCAATATAAATTATATGAAATGGTTTCAAGAAAACAAAAATTCCATTGGTTATGCACGGAAAAAACTAACAAAAGCAGGAAAAAATAGAGATTTTGGATTTTGAAAACGAAAAAAATAACGATTTTACACACAATTTAACTGATTTATAAAAAAAAAATTGGAAAACATTTATTCTTATTAATAATTCGACAATGAGTGTTGATATGTTGGCTGACAATAAATAAAGTAGAAAGAATAGTGTAAAATGTTTATGTATTAAAATAAAACATTGAAAATAAATCGAAGTTAAACCAAGCTAGAATAATAAAATCAAAAAATATTTCCATTATCTATTTAGAGAATGGAGAATATTTTACACATGTTGGTTACACAACCAGCAAACAAAACAAAAAAAAGGTTCATTATTCTATCATCGTCCATTTCTCAAAATAATATATGTATTCAAAATACCAAAACAAACAAAAACAAGACAAAAAAATTATAATGGACAGTCTTTAGTCTTTTGTACAGATACAAAATTAATAATTCCTTTGGTGAAAAGAACATGGGGCGAGAAAAAAAAACAGTCAAAAAGAAATATCGTGCGGTGAAAACGATAATAAATTTTAAAATATTAACAATACAGATTCTTTCGAAACAAACCGCTGAACGATAAAAAAAACCCAAATAGAGTGTGTTTGTGTGTGAATAATCAAAAAGTCTAAAAGAACAAGCATCTACATGGTCAAGCATCAACGAATTCCTGGATGGTAAAAGCAAGAAAAAAAATGCTCAAAAGAGTAAACAACAATCTCGGCGAAAATCTTTTGCAGAATTTTCGTCTTTTTTTCTTTTTCTATTTATTTAAATATTTATATACATCAAACACATTCCAAAAAGGAAATTCTCAGAAATGGTCCATATTGTATGTTGTAGAATTTTGAATGAAAGCAGACACCCACTATAAACATGTATGTAGCGATGAAATGATAATGAAATGTAATAAAACTCATCATTACTTTGAAGTGAAAGAAAAAATTTGTATACATTTTTATGGTGAGGTAAATATTAAACATGATAAACAAAATAAATTATTTAAAGTCTTTTATACATTTATAAATAGGTATCCGAATGTGTAACACGGGAGTAAAGCCAAGATATCAACAAAAATTATCACTAACAATCTGTAAATGGATAGAAAGAAATTTAAAGCATACACACATATGCAACCATGTACCATCATCCAAGAACATTAATCTTAATCAATCGTAAAGTAAAGAACAAAAAAAAAATTCAACAACAAAATTTCATATCATTACGACAATAAGATGGGTTAAGATGGGTAATGAAAAAAAGAATTTTTTTGGCATTCCATAAGATTATGATCATTATAATCATAATCATCATTTATTTTTATTTCAATGAACGATGATATGAGAAAGATTTTTTATCTAGGTTGAAAGGATGATAAAAAGACCGATTTCATCATTTAGAATTTCATAAGATTTGACCACACTTAAAGTGCCAAATTCATTGGGGATCGATTTGTCCATCGATGTAGTTTCCAAACCGAAACAGAAGAAACGATAGTGTAAAATAAGTGACTGAATATACTGATGAAATAGGAATATAGTCGAAGTTAAAATTCGAATGATGAGCTTTTCTTTTTATAACTTTTTTTCTGATTTTGAATGTGATGCGAAAAAAATGATTCTTTTTTCTGTTTTTGTGCATATTTAACTTTGTCTTTTGAAAACAATAAGAAACAAACAAACAAACAAGCAAGATAAAATTCCCAAATGATTCTATATATTTTATTCACACAATTTTATATTACTTTTCAAGATAAGGTCAATCATATTATAACTATGTATAGTTTTATTTTGTTTTCTTTCACAAACACAAACAAACAGTGAAAATGGAAAAGTTTGAATTTCAAATAAAAAGAAAAATCTAAAACAAAAATTATTATTTTAAAATGTTTGTATGATGATCGCTGTTTTCATCATTTAAGTTTACCTCAGCGAATAACAGATCGAAAAATAAATTGATATTTCATCTAAATAATTAATGAAAAATTATTGATAGTTTCTGGAAAAAAATTGGTTATATTAAATAGATATCAAACATATAAACAAACAATGTATAAAACTTTTAAATTTTATCATGTTGTGGTTATTTAAAAAGTCGAAATAGCCGCCGTTGAGCTAAGACGTATGAAATTTGCTAAGCGTTTGAAATCTCGTATTTTTGCCTTTTAAATAAGTTTTTATCTCTTTTAATCTACATATTTATGAATAAATCAGTAGTTTGTAACTTTGTCTTTCGATTGATGCTAGTGTTTCAAGTGTTTCAAGTGATTCTAACCCATTCCGAACCTATTTTCCCATATTTCATCATCGCTCATTGTACAAATACCATAAGTTGCTCATCATCACCTCATCACCCATCTTTCTCATCAAATAACCTACCATCTCAATAACTTTTACTCCATCTTCAACTTAATTAATCATAAATCATCTTAATATCTGTGTTTTCTTCATCTTTTGTGTTTTTCTTCATCCTTTCGTGTATTTCTTTATTATTGCTCAAATATTAGACTCTTTCTGGGTCCTACTAGTGCTGCCACTATGACCAGAAGAAAGAGCAACGCTTATCAACGTATTGTGCCGTCTGACTCAGACGCTGAATCATCATCAATACCGAACAAATCATCCAAAAGCGCAGAGAATGAAGCTCATGCAAAATTAGAAAATCTATGCATCGACCCTTCACCAATTGCTACATTCGATATCGATAAATGCTGTGACATTTTGGATCTTTTCAACATAGGCGACAAACGTTCAACATCACGATATATCAGTATTCTCCCAATTCTATCTACAACTATCAGAGCATTAGCTTTTACAAGTGAACAGAAAACATTTAACTTACTTGAGGAAATCAAACAAAACATCAAAGATAACAACAAACAACAACCAATTCCTATAAGCTACGCGCAAATGGTACGAAAAGAACCACAACAAGTGCAAATGATTCCCAAACAAGAAAAGACAATTATCATCAAACCAAACAACAACATACCACCACCAACCATAGAGTATAAAATCCGAGATGTGATTAAACAATCTGATCAAAAAGTTAAAATCAACAAAATGTTCAGCAAAAAGAACTGTGTGATAATTAAAGTTCCCAACATTGAACAAGACCCACAAAGTATAATCGATAAAATCAACAATCACGAAATTACTAAAGATAACTGCGAAGCTTACGCCGCAAAGATGAGAGACCCAACCATCCTAGTCAAAAATGTATCATTGGATACCGATCTAGACAACATCAATCAAGAAATAACAAATTGTAACCAAGAGCTAAATGGTCTTAAAGATGAAATAAATTATCTTTTCAAGTTGAAATACGGCGACAACACCGCAAAAAATATGAATGTAGTACTCCGAGTCAGCCCTAAAGTTTACAACATCATAACAAACCAAATGCAAAACAAAATTTATCTTAACTTTCAAGGCTGTTATGTACAAACAAAAATTTTTGTAAGACAATGTCAAAAATGTTTTAAGTTTAATCACAAAACAACGGATTGTGAAAATGCAGTCATCTGTAAAAACTGCGGACAACAAAAATCGAACGATCACAACTGTTCAGAAATCAAATGCTGCATTAACTGCAAAAACTCAATTAAACATAAAGATAACACCACACATTGTCCCAATACTGAAAGCTGTCCAATTTACAAATTACAGAAGGAAATACTGAACGAACAAACCCAATACTATCCATAACATGCTGTAAATACACACATCTTTCTTTTTCCTTAACCATGGATAATAACTCATTATTGATTATGCAACAAAACACCCGCAAAAGCTTAATCGCGACAAAAGAACTACTACATTACCTTAATTTTTCCAAACCAGATATTGTACTTTTACAAGAACCCTACACTGCTAATTCTGACAAAATACTCGGTTTTCCTTTAAAATCTATTCTACATTACAAAAAAAACAGCTTAAGACCAAAGTCAGGTATTCTAATCACCAATAACCACCTCTACACAGAATTGCTACCAGAATTCTCCAATAATAACATCACCACCATAAAAGTTCAACTTCATAACTCATCTCTCATCATATCAAACGCATACATCGAACCTAATTCCTTAACAACTGAACATATCAATCTGCTTGTAAAAATCATCAACACCCACAAAAACCAACCTCTAATTGTAGCCGGAGATTTTAACTCCCGACATCCACTTTGGAACGACAACATTACAAACCCACAAGGCATAGCTCTCTCTGATCTAATCAACGACTTCGAACTAGACGTCCACAATAATAAAGAACCAACGTGTATCACCGCCAACGGAAGCAGTATAATAGACCTCACACTGACCAACAATAAAGCTACACCACGAATATCCAACTGGTACACGTCTAAGCAATCTAATACAATATTCGACCATGTATCCATTATGTTCACATACCAAGCTCAATTCTCAATCCCTAAGAAAACAATACACTCAACATATAAATTCAACGAATCTTTAGCAGACTGGCAAAAATTTATAAATCATGTCAATACGAATATTACACAACTTAACATATCAATTAATAACATTCACACTGCAGATCAAATAGATTCATGCTCTTTACAATTCACGAAAATGATCCAGGAAGCAGCATACCAATCAATCCCAACCAAAAAACAAAATAAACCTCATAGAAATCACACCCCTTGGTGGGACACAAGTTTGAGATTAATGCAAATAACAATCAAAAACCTTAGAAACTTGTACACGCACGAGAAAAATCCAATAATGAAACAAATCAGATATCAAGAATATAAAAAATACAGAAACAAATATGTAAAATCGATATACAAAAAGAAACAAGAAAGCTGGAAAGAATTTTTAGAAGAAACACACACAAAAAACACTTGGGGTAATACATACAAATTGATCAAATCAACTTTAGCTTCTAAATCATACACATTACCAATACTAGACAAAGCACCACCTCACCAACACAATGTAATCATCAGCAATATTCTAACCAACATCTTCCCAGACGACATTTCAAATCAACACCTCATTGAAGCAACACCAAACAACATCCTTGATGACGAACAGCTTGTTATCACACCTGAATTAATTAATACACTTGTAAACACCTCTAACAACAAGAAAGCTCCTGGTCCAGATTATATAACAAACAGAATGTTAAAACACATAAGAGAAATAATTTCACCTACACTAGCCACACTTTTCAACAAATGTATAACCATAGGACACTTTCCCAGTTGTTGGAAAAATGCAACACTAATCATCTTTCCGAAACCGAACAAAACAGACTACAATAATCCCAAAAACTACAGACCAATTAGTCTACTGTCAAACATAGGCAAAATTTTCGAAAAAGTCATTCAAAACAAAATTCAAGACTATCTCACAACACATGAGTTACAGAACCCGAATCAGCACGGATTCACAAGACATAAATCTACTATTACTGCACTATCGAAGATCACCGATGACATTATACACAACAAAAAACAACGAAACCAACTTACGTCAATAATGTCCGTCGATTATTCTGGAGCATTTGATAACGCCAACTGGCACCGAATTATAACAAATATGATCAACATGAATGTGCCACATCAATATACGAAAGTCATACAGAGCTACCTGTCGAATAGATCTGTCACATTTAAATACAACAACCACGAACAAACAAAAAGACTTACAATGGGATGCCCACAAGGAAGTCCACTATCACCATTGCTGTGGAACATATTGATCAACACACTTCTGAATACATTCAACATCCCCAACGCCCATATATACGCATATGCTGACGACATAACTGTAACATGCACAGGAAAAGACACAGACACCCTCCATCAAACACTTCAATCATCGCTAAATTTTATAAACACTTGGTCCATACAAAATTATCTTCGAATTAATGTCCAAAAAACACAAATTCTTCATTTTCACACCAAGCCAATGAACACACCGATCACACTCAACAATGAACACATTCAAACGGTAAATACAATGAAAATCCTTGGAATATCTTTTGAAAATCATAGACACAAAAACAAAATCAACTTTAATTCACACATCAACAACATCATTGTAAAAACAACACGCATCAAAAACATCTTACACAACTATTGTAAAAACACTTTTGGCATAGATAGTAAGAAAAGACAAAACTTATATAAGGGCCTCATTAGACCTGTACTAACTTATGGATCTGAAATCTGGATAAATCATGTAAACAAAAAACACATAAATAAACTAGAATCATTACAACACCAAATTCTCAGACAATCCATCATGGCCTACAGAACAGTTTCAAAATCTTGTGTCACTGTCTTAACACAGATCGAACCATTACATACTAACATACAGATTAAACAGCTTAAATTTCGCAGCAGAAATAATATGTATTTAGATATCCCAGACAATCAAACACTTGATCAATATATCCAACAATTAAAAGACACTGCAATACAAACTGCACACCAAAACGCTAACAACACATTCAAATCATTTTTCCCTTCCCATAAAATACCAAAACACATCATACCAAATTTCATTACAACACAGTTCTACACCGGACACGGACATTTTCAAAAATATCTTTACAGATTTACACACTCCCTCACAGAATTATGTACATGCTCCAATACAACACAAGACCCTACACACTTACTCCTAAATTGCACACACTACACAAACATCAAATACGATCTTCATCTACACAATGTTAACACATTAGAACAATTTATACAGAACAAAAACACATACAATAATTTCAAACACTTATGCACACACATTTACAAACACCTAAAAATATTATTTTAATTTTAATTTAATTTTAATTTTAAATTGTAATTGCTACTTAATTTCTTTTCTTTATTTTTAAACATTGTATCTCTTCAATCTTGTACCTAGGCTATCTTTATATTGAAAATTTGTAATTGATAATTCATTTTAACTTTTATTTTAGCGTAAATATCCACNAATTTCAAATAAAAAGAAAAATCTAAAACAAAAATTATTATTTTAAAATGTTTGTATGATGATCGCTGTTTTCATCATTTAAGTTTACCTCAGCGAATAACAGATCGAAAAATAAATTGATATTTCATCTAAATAATTAATGAAAAATCATTGATAGTTTCTCTAAAAAAAATTGGTTATATTAAATAGATATCAAACAAATAAACAAACAATGTATAAAACTTTTAAATTTTATCATGTTGTGGTTATTTATAAAGGCTAAGCTGATTAGTAAAAAAACAAGTTTGCAGACCAAAACTTTTTTGTTTTAAACTAAAAAGTAAAACACCATGATTTACAATGTTGAATCCATAAATGATGACTACTTTTTTTCCTGGAACGGATATAGTAAGCCATTTGATTTTGATTATAAATTCGAACGTGACAATTCAAGTTTGAATGAGATAAATGTGACGATTGATAATAATGATGATGTTGATGAAGAGAAGAAAATAAATAAATATCTTTGATAACATGATAATAATGACAACCATACTATACACATAGAAACATGGTATCCGTTGATGGATCAAAACTTTTTTGTTTGTTTGGTTTCCTTTTATGAACATAATCAACAACAACAACAACAGTAGTATTGGATAAAAGTTTAATTTTTTTTTCATCATTATCATCAAATAGAATATTAACATGAAAAAAGACAAAAATAAATAAATTCCAATTTTGTGCGTGTAAAATGAGATTAAAACAAATTGGATAATTATTCGCGACGGGCATCCAACAAAAATCGATTCAATTTTTTCGACGGTACAAAAAAATCTACACGTTTGTAATAAACTTTTTTCTTCCCCTCACTTTATATATACAAATATGAACAATCTTCGGTCGAATATTATTTCAACAGAATTAATGTTGTTCACTTTCTCACATGTTTTTTTTGTTTGTATTGATTTTTGTTGTTGTCACCATTATTCTAGTTTTTTTCAAATCATTTCCAATAGAATCCATACTTATTGAATAGAATTATATGAAAAAAACTAATATAAGAAATAGAAAGAAGAAACTCAAACCCAATTGACAAGTCTAAAGATTCTAGTGAAAAAAATATTTGCAACTTCATAGTTATGTTTCTCACCAATGATCGTTAGGTTTTGGAATCAAGTAGACATAAAAAAGTACAAAGTTATTTTCAAGTATGAGGACTTGAAAATTTTCAAAATGAACAAAACTCCCGACCAGTACCAAAAAATGTTTCGACAATAAACTAAACACAAAAAATGGAATAACTTGAACGAATGCTGACGCCTTGAATAAAAACGAATCGTATAATGAAAAAAAAATAATATATTCTTTGTATTAAGAGCAAGGGAAAGTCAAATAATAAATCAAATTCAATATGGAATAGCGGATGATAGAATGAGAGAATGGAGAAAAAGAAAAAATATTCTTCAACAATGTCATTGTAGGTGGCATAAACATTTTTGTATGACTATTTTGTCGACATATTTTTCTTTTTTTTCCATTTTGATTGACCAGTGATTTTTTTTTGCTTGAATTTATTGTTCAAACAAACGATTGATATATATGAAATACAATACGACAAAGTTTATACGCCCTGTGTTTGCATATAAAACAATCATAACAATAATAATAGTAAGGTAGTATGAGCAAATGTGAACTGATTTTCTTTCAATCAAGATTATCAATGACAACAGCAAAAAACCATGGAATTCGGATTCTCTGAACAAGTGAAAAATGAAATTTGATTTTTCTTTCTGGAATTTAATGTCCCATATCTTATGATGACGATGATACAACGGCAATGACTTTATATTTTCTATTTTCTCAATGATATGAGAAAGAATTTTTCATGATGGATAATAAAATGATAATTTCAAATTGATCATTTCCTTTTCTCATTTTTCTCTATGATTCGTTTATTTCATCATCATCATTGCCATCATCAAAAAAAGAACAAAAAAACATAAATTGATTGTTCGTTAAATTCTTCATTTTATTTTTGAAATAGTGACGAAGAATTCGAAAGGAAAATGAATGAATGAGCAAACGAATTTCGTCTATCGGTCTTGTCCAATTATTTTCAATCAAACTTATAGCTGGTATGATACAACAACAACAACAAAATGGTTTGATTGATTTTTTTATGTTCCAGGAACGTTGCTGATGATGATTGTTATAAAATCAAAAAAATTCGACTATTTCCCTTTAATAAGATTGAAAAATCTGTAGGATTTTTTTTCTTCGATTGATACGAACAAAATTGTATGTGATGTGTTCAATGTTCATTTATGTGATAAAACAACGACAATTTTTGAACAATAATTTTTATTTGGAAAAAGAAAATTTCTCTTCAATCTAATTGAATTGAATTGAATTATTTTAAAGAAATAAAAAAAAAATCCAATTCTCTATTTTCTGTATGATTTGAGATCATCATCATCATCATCATGATTATGATTATTATAACTCATCATCAACAGTAACAAACGGCAAAAACTGTTCATTTTCAATTAAATTTATTTGATCATCATCATTTTTATTATCATTATTTCTTTATGGCTCATGAATTTTTTTTTCGTTTATTTTCAATGCATCCAAAAAATTATTTTTTTTCCACATAAGATTGATCTTTGTGAAGAAAATAAAGAAAAAAAAAGGTAAATTACATACACTCATTAATCGTATTTTTATTCACTTATTTTTTTCCGTGAAAAAAATAGAAACAAAATTTATGATGGAATGAAGTAAAAAGAACAATGCATATTGTATTAGTTTCCTTTCGAAAAATTTCTGCTTATTTGTCAGACACATTGAAAATTCTTGCATCTTTTTTTTATTGTTTCATTTTTTAACTCATAAAAAAAATTCGATTTTATTTTCAATGAAAAAAAAGACTGCCAACCCATCGATCCATCGCTTCAGTCATCGATTAAATAACAATGCTATCAAATTTGAATTTCATTCAAATTCATTCACTACTTTCAAACTCGTTTCTTCCATTTTTTTCGGTTAGTTTCTGGACTGTTTCAAAATATTTTCAAACAGAAAAAATGAAAAGAAAGAAACCACAGAAAAAATTCAATAGAAACATACCAATCTCAGACTTAATCAAGTCGGTTTGAGATTTATCTTTGTGAAGGAAAATTGAAAAAAAAAATTAAATTTTTTTTCACTCAATACACCAATACTGTTCAATCCATCAATCATTTTCAAACGTGTTTTACACACAATTATTAGTGATTTGTGAATATTAATAAGATGAGAATTCAGTTTGAAACAAGTTACATACCTTGTTGGCGTTGTGAAACGATGATTGGTTTCGAGATGATTGAACCAAAACGATTAATGGCAAGGCACTCAACTTGATGTGATATGGTCATATACGGTTGTTGTAATGAAGAATGATGAATATAATTACTTCCCGTTTGATATAGATGTTGATGATGATGTTGATTGATATTACCATTACCATTATTCATTGGTGTTCCACCAATTATCAATGTTTGTCCATCATTTCTTAATGTAATCATTGCATTCAAATGTGGCCAATATTGTGGTGTATCCCAACTATATTCAGTTTCACTTTCCATCATCATTGCTGTATTCATATCCTGTTGATTCATATGATGATTCATTATGGTCATATTATCAATTCGCCAATATATCTTTGGTATTGGATATCCTTGAGCTTTACATGTTAATGTTAAACGTAATGTTTGGTTATCATAATATCGCTCTGAACTGGATGCAATATTTGGTTCAACAATGAAAATTGGACCAGAAAATTCTGGACCATCATTATTATTTGTTTCATAATCATAATCATCATCATTATTATAATAAAGATGATTTGTCCAATGAAAATCTAATGGTGATGTCAATGATGGCAAACTGTCAAAATAATTGGAAGAAGAAAATGTGGAATCTTTTAATTGATGATGAAGATATCTACGATGACGTTTTGATGAAGATGAAATTTCGCTAATGTTGACTACTGTTGTTATTGGAACTATTGAATAGACAGAGGTGGATGTTACAATTTGTTCGTTCGAATGATTATTTGTCGAAATATTCACAACCGTTAGTGCAGAATTTGAGAATGACATTAAAAACATCAGTGATAAAAAAATGAACAGAAATTTTGATTTCCATGATGAACATGGTTTGACCATCATCATATTGGTCATCGGATTTTGTTCTATTTGGCAATTCAACATTTTTTTTTGTCGATCGAATTTCAATTATTATGATACAAAAAAAACCTTTATCACTGGATGGTCATTATTGTTATTTTTTTTCTTTTTTTTTATTTGATAATTTTTATCCGGCTGAATCAATGTTATACTTGAAAATTATGTCTTGCTTATAATGCGACAAGGGAAAAAAATATTAGAAACAATGGCCAAAAAACAAAACAGCCAACACAATGGACAATTCAATCAATAAAATCGATCGTTGGAATTCTCACTCAATTTATTCGTCGATTTTATTGATTGATTGGTTCATTCTTGGATGAGTAGTCAAATGTGTAGAGAATAATATTAAAGCCAAAGAATAAAACAAGATGATCATAATGAAGATTGAAACATAATGATAATGATAACAAAAGTATTAAACATAATTTTCTTGGCTATCAATTTCAGATGATTTAGAAAGTTTTTAAAATAAAAATTCAGCTTATAATAGTCTGATGGTAGAATATTCAATCAAAAAAAAGATGATACATTAGAAAGTTTTTATCTTTCACCATAAAAATTTTAACATTGGACATTCTTTTCATTCAATCGTTATCGCATCATTTCTTTCATCTATTTCGACAATGTGATTTCATCCTAATTTTAATAACCATTTTTTGCGCTCTCATTATAACAGGAGAATATCTTAAACACTTTGTTACCAAATCATCATGATACTCATTATTATTTCAATAATGATTATGTATATGTTAATTTGAGATGGACTCTTTTGCAATACTTTCCCTATTAATTTTTTTTTTGCTGTATTGAATAATTACAGGAAAATCATTTCGAATAAGTGAACAAAGGATGTATCATCAAGGATATTTCTTTCTTTTTTCTCTTTCAATATTTCCGATTTTGATCGTTGAAAATGACGTCGTTATCCGAATCGCATAACGTACAAATAATGTTTGGATGGATAATAAATTAGTTTAATTAATGTCAATATTATTCACGACAAGCAATCGTTTTTTTCAGTAATGACAATTTCTAATGTGAAAAAAGTCAAATGAAATTTTGATATGAAGCCTAGACGATCATGATGATGGCTAAGAATCAGAATATGGTATTTACTTTTGCTTGATGTTGAAATTAATTCTACTGGCTTTCATTTAATATCATCTCAACAAACATCCGTAAACGTTTGTTTATTTTCTTTGTAGCAATAAATTTTGTTTTTTTGTTGTTGCTGTTGATTGTTTAGCTGTAATTAAATCTTTTCATATTCGTTTCAAGTTTCATACTAGATTCGGATGAAGTTTCTATGCAATCATCTTGAATAAGGTAACAATAGTCGGGATATTGGCGTGATGAAGAAAAAGAAAAAAAAGAAATTCACATCATTTTTAACGATAAAAAAGCTTCTATCAATTGATTCAATGAATTTTTTTCAAGATTGAATTCTGTTTTTTCTTCTTTTTCTTGCACTTTTTTCACACTGATGATGATAGACATTTATTACGAATGAATGATTTTTTCGATACAACATTAAAATAAAAATATTGAACAAAACAGTAACAGACAATATAAAGGCGATCACTTTTGGCGCCAAATTTGTGCTTGAATAATTCGATCAAAACAGAGAGAATAAAAATAACATTTTCAATCCATACATTGGATAAAATCACAAATGAAATTCCATTTCAAAATTCCATAACAACAACAAAACAAATAAGTTGATCCAAATGGAACCAATGTTAGAACTCGACTGAATCAATGTTTTTTTCATGAGAAAAATACGAACGATCCAAAGAATGATTGCGCCTGGTCGATCGCTTCCTAGTTTCTATATAGTAAAATAATTCAAAATACAAAAGCAAACAAGTTTTTGTGAAGGGATTGAATACAAAACAAAAAAAAAAATTCGTTTCACACACACGTGGTTGTTTGGATTTTCACGCCTTGATTTGTCCCTAACAAAATAACATCATTTCGTAAAACTTTTTACCGATTGAACAATTTTCGATCAAAAGTTTTCATCAATAACATAAGTTGTTGTCGTTGTTAATCTTAAGATTTTATTATTATAAAACTTCAAATGTACATACTAATAGTGAATAGGAAAAATTCATTGAGACATTATTTCTCAACACCTTAAATAAAATTTTTCCTCACTTCTTTACATGTTCACAGGGTCAGTGAAATTTTTCTCTGGCAAAGAGAATTCTCTTTACTTTATGACATACAAACGATTGACCATAGAATTGATTGCCAAGAAATAAAATTGAAAAGTTATTATCATCATCATCATTGAAAAGAATGATGACGACAATGACGGTAACAACAGCGACGACGACGACAAAAAATATATCAAACAGAAACCTAGGATGATCGAATCAAATCAAATTAAATTGAATCGGATCCGATTCGATCGAATAGAATCAAATTCAATTTAATGTTCACAATTTTTTTCACTTTTTCGATCAATTTTATGACAACCAACAAAACGACGTATGGTGTCGACATCCATAACAATATTGGTCATAGATATTGAAAAAAGTATTTAAAATCATAAATCGAAATCGGTTCTGTCCATCCATATTTCTGTATTAATCATATTAAATAGAAATCAATTTAAGAAAAAAAAATCGACAAACCAATGCAAAGAATTGATAGAATTACATTAGAAAGTTGCCATCATATTTTTTTTATTTGTAATTTTTATCATTATAGTCATCATCATTTTGTGGAAAACTTTTGCAAAAAAAATGATTCCAATTTGATCGTTATTGTGGTTATTTTATTATTATAGTTTTTTCTGGTGCCATTTGTATTTTTTTTTCTGGGCTCCCATTTTCATATTCTAAGTCATTGAAAAAAATAACACACACACACACCGATTAATTAGAATAATATGATAATCACATAAACACAAACCAGATATTGGTTTGAATATAGATATGATAATGGTGATTAGTTGATATTTTTAGTTATATAACGGAATATTTATAGCCATTATATGTATTAAATGAATCGAATTTGGTTCCCTGATATAATGGAATGGAAAATTTGTACCGATGGTCGTCGTCATTATTATCCAGTCATGATCGAAAGCTTTTTTTTTGTTTGTAGTGCTTTCTTTCATTTTCACGCTCTCTTTATCATTTTTGTTCATTTGATGGTGATTTAGAAATGCAAATTGATTATTGATATCATCGACGATGTAATTTTATTCCTATCTTTATTGTTTGATTCTGATAATAATGACAACTATTTTGGGTTTGCATTTTTTTCGGAAAATCAACAGAAAAAATGTAAATTATTATTTTTTTTCATTCATAAAAAGTTTTTTTTTATTTTGCGTGTCCAAATCCATTTACATAAAGGGTTTTTTTCGGTACAAAAAAATATTTAGGGACTACAACTATAGCTGAAAAGCATTCGATGATGATGGTGTTGATTATGAAAAAAAAGTTAAAATTATCAAGCATAAATCACATTGATCTATTTAAAGATATTCAAGGTCTTTTTTTTGGAACAAATGAATTTTAATGTATAATGAAAATTCAATTTGATTGAACACAATTTTCATCATTGAAAAGCTGTGTCACTAATTGATTTGTCATTTTTATCAGCTAATGTCGATAATAGCGAATTTTTTCAAAGATTTCAAAAAATGATTCCGAATGAATTTTATCCTGAATAGTTTCAACTAGATAATTTTAAGAAGAAAAAAAACGCAGATGCGTTATGCAAGTTTAAAATTGAATTAACTATAGGCACAAAAAAACTGATGAACAAAAGAATCAGAAGTGAAAAAAATTCGCAAGAATCATACTTTCTATGTTAGTTTTGTAAATTCAAAGCACACACACACACACACACGAAAAATGAAAATAGAGAACAAAAATTTCACCAACAAAATAAGATTTGTTTAAAATAAGAAGAAAAAAATTACATAAAACAAGAAATAAAATGAAATACGAGGAAAAAAATAACTTGCGATTCAAGTTTCATCCAACATCAACAGAAAAAAGCCATGTTATGCACAATTCAGAAATGTCAATAGTTTTTTTTCTTCACCAACTTTTATTCATTCATTTGTTATTCTCGTAATAAGATGTGAAAAAACAACTATTGCTGCTGCTGTCGAATAAATTTGATGAAATTCAAAATTGAAAAAGAAAGATAGGTCCAGAATTTGAAAAAGCCTAAAACCAAGAATTCAAAAAAAAAAAATATTTTACGTAAATTAAATTTATACTTTTGGTCCATTCAAAATCATATATTCACTATTGCTAGTATTTTTATTTGAAGAAAAATTTTTGTTTTGGAAATTTAATAGTTTCGATCTGAAATCATCAACATCATCAGGCGTGATCATCGAACGAACCATCTGATCCAAAGAATCCAGTTTCTCAACAACAAAAAAGTATCTGCCATTTTCCATAAAAAGTATTCAACAAAAAAATCGACTTCAATATGAAATGTGTCGAAAGAGAAAAAAAATATCCATCTCTCGTTCAATATATAAAATGAATTGTATTGTTAAAAAGAATTGCAAAAGAAAATTCATTGCATTGTTCCTTGGAATAGTAAAAAAAACCATGTAAGAAAACGAAGACGACGACGATGATATTTGATTATTAGATTTGATGTACCCGAACCGAATTTTTCTTCTTCATTTTATTCAGCCAATTGTTAAATATTGAAAAAATCAACATGATGTTGAAAACATGGACAAAAAAAATTCTTATTCAAACTTTGTGTCTCCTTTTTTTTTTATTTTTCTTTTTTTAAAAATTATTCCTAACTTCAACATTTGGGACCATACATACATCATAAAGTATATTGATCTTTAAAATTTTTTCCTTGTTAAATGTTTGTCTTTACAGCAAAAAAAAAATCTCCATACATTTATTTCGTTATCCATTCAATTTTTTTTATATAAAGGAAGTATTTACCTAAACAATACTCTATAGTTATTGACGATTTTTAGTATAATTTAATCAGAAAAATAATAATAATAATAATGTTAAACATGTGAACAATCGAGAATTATTTACATTTTAAATGAAAGATTATCATCATCAGAATATTTAAGAGACAATATCATCCATTCTATTTTTATCAATATGTTTAAACGATTTTTTAAAATAATGTTTTGTCACCATCACTTTCATCATGATGTTCCGTTTGAATAGCAGCATTGTAGAAATCAACCAACATCAGATCGAATCTAATGAATATTTCATATTTTCTTCGGCATCCATTTTATCTATTTTTTTTTTGTGATAGAAACAAGACAAAAATGGGAAAAATTTTCAATTCATATAACGTTTCATTTTGCCCCTCACCTCATTCGCTTGAGTTCGATCGATATATTTTTTTTTATTTTAGTCTGGAAAGCGTAAAAAACTAACCCCAAGACGAAATCAATATTTTATTATATTTATAAGAATTATAATTAATTGATTGGAATCCATGAAATTGCATAGAACTTTAATGATAATAATAATAAATTAAATAGGAACACGTGTATGTGGTTGTGGGTTTTTTTTCACTGTCAAAACTTTTCAATTCAATTGTAATGGTTTCTACAAGTTCATCAATTTATTCGTTTGATCAATCAATAGCAAAAAAAATTCTTTGCTTACAAAGTATTATCCGAACACTACTACACATGGGACTCGTTATGCAACAAAAAAAAAACAAGGGAAATTCATTATTTCATTTACATTCATGTAATTCATGTAAGTATTTGCAATGGCAAAGAGCAAGAGAGAATAAAAACTAATAATATTTGTAAATGTCAATTTGTTTTTGAAGAGTTATTAATGAATTGCATATTCCAAGTTCCAAGAGTAACAACAACAACAACAATAAAAGGAAAAAGTTTCATTAAATTATGTATTCGATTCGAAATAATTATAGTTTTTGATTTTTTTCTTTCTGCACTCATCTTTGATAACATGAATGCTAATAGGTTGGTAATGTGTTTGTATGTGCACAAGTCATTTATGATTGAAAAAAATAAAAGCAAAGAAATCGCCTATTCATCAAAATTTCTAAATGAAATAAATGTAACCAAAGTTTTTCAAATGTGTACACACACACACACACACACACACTCACGACACACCTTTTGTTCTATCTATAGATGAATCATCATCGATTTGATTAATTATTAATTAATATTCATCATGTTAATTAGTTGAATAACCATCATCGAAATTTTTTGTTTTGTTATGTTTTTCTATGAAAATGAATAATAAGATAAAAATTCTGTTTAAAGAAGATCAAAAAATATGAATATGAAACAAATGAATGCATTTATCATTTTTCTTTTGATTTATTTTTCTAGTTTTTTTTGCTGATGAATTTTTATTTTCAAATTAATTATTCAAATCATATTACATTATTGTAAAAATATTATCATAAAATGATGGCTTATTATATAACATTGACTTTCCTTTTTTTTCATTATTTTCTATTAAATTATATTCGAGCTCTTATAATGAAAGAAAAAATTTTCCTGTTGTCGTTCCAACCCGTCAATCATTGAAAAAGAAGAGAGAAATCTTCATTCGATGAAATTCTCTTTCATGATGACAATGATGATGATTGTAAACGATAGTTACGAAAAAGTAATTTTCACCCTCTCTCTCTTTCATCCATTCGTTGTACCGGAATTTATATATTTGTTTTTTGTTTAATATTTGTGATTGTATTATAAAGAAGAAAAAAAATACATTCCATTTCACAAACGAATATACATAAAACATATTACATTTCATTTCATTTAAAATGTTTCATGTTTTTTCTCTTTTTTCCAGAAAATAGATTACGAAAAAAAAACAAAATAAAATGAAAAACAATATCAATGTTCTTAGAATTTGAATATAAAATCATTGGCCAACTTTGGTGTGTAAAGGAAAAAGGAAAAAAAACATAGCAGAGAATTTCAATCGTAATGGAAGAGGGCACTATTCCGTTGTTGATGTCAAAGAAAATTTTGTTTATAACAGTGCTTGTTGGTTTGGTGTTGATAATGGTGTCAAATACGTCTGGTGTAATGATACTTATTGTCATTTAATTCAATGAAAATGATCATATTGGCAATGATGATGATGATGATGATGTTTCCCCAACGACAACGTGGCGTTTTCCTTCGTAAACAAAAAAACAAAAAGAAAAGAAAGAAATGGTTCCATTTTGAAACTTAACAAAACTAAGAATAAAAAAAAACTATAACGAATTTGTCAACAACTTTGATCATAGCTTGATGATGATGATGGGGAGAATGGATATGAACGTATCAAAAGTTTGATACAACAAACTATACAAATAGCAACGAAGACCACATATTTGATCGTGGTAACAATGATGATTACTATAGACATTTTCATTATTATATAGAAGCCATCATCTTCATTCAATTCTCGATTCTTTTCCTGTGTGTGTGTGTGTGTGTGTGTGTGTGTGTGTGTGTCATTTAATCATCATCTTTTCAAAAGATGATCGTCTTTTATGATGATAGCAACGATGATGATAACGTCATTGTCATTTTTGTTAGTTGTTCTTTTTTTGTTTTTGTTCGGTTGGATCGAAAAAAGCTGTTCGATCTTCCGATTACTTTCGATTCTTATCCATAATCATCATCAACCGATGTTGGGTGTTCAACGATTCAAATGTGATAACATTAGAGGCTCGAAAAAAAAGAAATACATACAAAAGATAAATTACGATTCAAAATGATGATGACAATTTTTTTAGGTCGTTCTTTATGATCATAAAGAAAATTGAATGGGGAAAATGAAAAAAAAATTCGTTTATAGTTGCTACTTTTTGTTGTTGTTGTTTCAATAATGATGATAATGGTCCATAATCGAACCGCTATCGAGATTGAATTGATTTGAAAACTTTTTTTTCTCTTTCCACCACTATGAAGAAATTGTTTTTGGAAAATAGATTACGCCCACCTGTGCAGTGTAAATATGAAAGTGTTCGAGAGAGCCTGTTTTTATATTTGTCGCTCTTCTAATCTGGATCGACATAACACATGACATTACTTAATGTAAATTGTCTTGTAATCCTATTATCAACATCACAGCCATTATTTTTTTTTATTCACCAATTTTTCTTTTTTACCCACTCATTTACACAGTTGATGTTTGGGTTCCAATTTCATTTCTTCAACAGAATGAAAATTAGATTGCTTCCAATTTCATATTATTATTATTATTATTATTATGCTGAATATTTTTCTTCTTTTTTTCGAATATATAAACAAGAAGAATATTCTTTATTGTCGATGTTTTTGTTGTTTTTTCAATTCTTTGAACCATAACCAGAATTCATTGTTCTCCCTTAGCCTTAGTTATGAATGCAATTAATGGCTTCACATATATAGTCATAATAATCATAATCATAATCATTGCTAGCAAATCTCTTTCTCCGGTGGAATATTCATGTTCATGTTCTCTAAGTATCTCCCTTCATTTCTTCTTTTTTTTTCATTATATTTAGAATAATTCCACATATAATGTCGGTTAATCATAGTATTAACTACATCTCATGTAAATATTAGTGTTTGTATGTTAGGCAACAAAAAAAAAATGTAGTCATATTTGCATAAAATACACCACCGCCTAAGTTTGACATTTTTGCCTGTTTTATTTTCATTTTTAATCAAATTGTTGGTTCGTTGTCTTTTGACATTTTTTCTTTTTTTGAATCGGTTATTCGTATAATCACTCAAATCTTTATCATTGTCAAGGTTTTGAAAATTATTTATCCTTTTATCGTTGAATAGATAACATTACAAAAAAATCTATTTGATTTTTATTCCAATCGAATTGATTTGAATCGATTTCATCTTATTGTATGGCTACCATTATTTTATTTCTAATTTTGTGTTTTTTATTTGTCAGAAATTCCAAAAAACTAAATTGCTAACCATTCAATGTTTTGAATAAAGGTGAAGAGAAAAAAAATTGATCCAATTTAAACACTATAGCGTTTGCTCACTCTATTTATTTTTGGTATTTTTTTTCTATTCAAACTATAGATGCAATCAATTTGAAAATGATGATGATCAAAAAAAAAAAAAAAAAAAAATGAAGCGAATTCCTAAGAACAATGAACTCTGGCAATAGTAATTTAACCCGTCTTTTGTTTTTGAATTTTTCATCAATTTTCGTTGACAGCAAATGAAGAAAAAAAACAAACGAAAAAAATTCAATTTCACCATTTTCCGTTTTATCAGTATTACCTTTTTTTTATTTTCATTCCTTCATTTTGAAACAAGAAAAATAGATTATAATGTAATGAATAAAACAAGTCGATTTGGATCAAATTGCGAAAATACATACACACTCACAAACAATATATCCATGAAAGATCGTTTATCTTCCAAAGAATGATAGTGACATTGGCCGGTTGGACATCAATTAATATCATAGTGTTCAATGGTTTTAATGAAATAAAGGTATCATATAGTCAATTTAATTAAAAGTTTCAATCGTATTCCATCATTGTGGGTGGTCTCGTTGGGATCAATTTTATTGTCCAATGTTTATGTTGATGGTAATCAATTTCCCCGTCCATATCAATGATGATCCGTTTTGGATACATTGAGCTTGTTTTTTTACAACTTAAATCCCAATAATTTTTAATTACATGGATGATTTCACAAGATGGAAAACGAACATGTTGAATTTTTTTTATTAATTTTTTTTACAACAAACTTAATAATTGATCTATTGTTCATTAGTTTTCACAGGAAAAATAAATTATTCACCCTAATTATAAAATTATTTATTGGATATCGCTCAAATACGGAGCATTTTGACCGATTGTAGCCAAAGCGATTTTTGATTTCAACATTCGGGAGCCCAAACTTTTAACATCAGCCATGGTTATCGAATCAACTTGTTTGAGATAATCTTCAATTGAAAATTTTTGTCCTCCCATTAATAATTGTGTGCCCATTTCATATGCCAATGCAGCTTCATCATCCAAAGCGATCATTGCCGAAGTTTTCAAATTGTTTCTAATTTCAATCATGGCAGACATGGGTTAGAAACACAAAATACACAAAAGAAGATAGTACTTACTTAGCATCATTAAGTTCAGCATCCGAAACCGAAGTCATTGTAGCACGGAATTCTTTTACTAAGGATTTGACCAATACACTCATGTCACAGGTATTTGGTGCTACTAAATTCACGCCAAAAAGACCAGTATTTTCATAGTTATAGTTGAATGAAGCCACTGAGATATTCTCCGTGGATTTTCCACTAAGTTGAGCTTTGATTGCTTGACTAAGACGTTGTGCCTCGTTTAGATCATTAGAGTTTTTGATTTGACTACCCGAACCAAGAATTTTCTGTAATAAGGCAGCAGCAATATAATCTTTGGGAGATTTGTTGATGCTAAAATAATTTCATTAATCTAATGGAAAGTCAAGATTATTTTAAAATGAAAATACCTGACACCTTCACAGGCTATGGCAACATAAGTCAATGGTGAACATGAATCTTGATGGATTTCGCCACCAATAAAATCGCTAGATTCTTTCGTTCCTGACGATGCTGGCAATATGAGATTTTGTCCGACCAATTCAGTAAGCTGTTGATGATCCATACCGAGTCCGACAACTACTGTATTGGATCCAACAAATGTTTCGCGATGAAATTTTTTCAAATCTTCCGTTGAATGTTTTCCCACCATAAATTTCGGTACATACAGGGAGTTTCGAAGACCGCCTTTGTATGCGACCTGATGAATTAATTCAGTCAATTGAATAAATGGCGTATCTTCCATCAGAGACCGATCGACCATTAGTCGTTCAGTGTTGTCAGCAACTTCCCAATGTTTGAAAGCTGGCCGTGCGACAGTATCTGCAACCATGGCAAAATTTTTCGGTAAAATTTCATCATCGTTATGTACTTCCAAAAGGTAGGCGATTGAATCACGAGTACCAGCCACTGTCAATCGTCCGCCGTGATATTCGATTTGACGTGTTATACCGAATGAGCTGAATTGTTCGGTCCCTAAACCGGCAGATGAACGAACGACATGAGAAATGCCCAATTTAGATTGAGGTTCATAACGTGCCCCAGCACGAACAACAACAGCTACGCGAGCTAATGGTGATTCAGATTCAGCTGAAGCCAAAACGATACCAGATGGAAGTGTGGAAACTTGAATCGATGATGATGATGATTTAGCTTGAGTTTGACCAGCAGACAAATATCGTTTCAACTGGACATTGATCGAACGGATTGTCTTCAAATTTTTGCTCAACATTTTATCAAGTTTGGGGTATCTGATGAAACAGAATATTATTAAGAATTAGATAATCTCAGAATAATTTTTATACCAGAAAAAAAAACAATAAATCAACGTGAAAAATCGTCGAATTGGTAAAAAAAAAGTCAACGACAACAGCTGCAAGGTGATTCCGAACACTAAAGTTTGACGCATGCCTGTCTCAGTTCTTTGCACGACCGTTCATATATGTGATTTCGGTTTTTTGGTTTGAATTTCTAAAGCAAAACCGCGCTTCAATCTTATTCGGAATTGTTTTTTTGGTTTTTGATAATAAAACTTTATTTTTTCGAACATTTTTTTATAATTCAATTGAAAATCAATAAGCCGCTTGCGTAACTGTCAATTGCTTACTAGGTCAATGGATCGGCAACTGATTGAATCCTGAAGCAAGTATAAAAAACAAAGAAACAACGAGAAAAAAGGCGGCGGTTCATTCAAATAATTTTAACAGCCGTTTATAATTAACTCTTTCCACATCAACAGTTATTATTAGTTGGATGCTTTCTATAGAAAATCTATTCGAAACTTCTACAAAAAAAAAAGATTTCCACATCAAACTTAGTTAGTCAAAATATAGGCATGGTGATGATTATTATCATCATCAAAATAAATAGCTTCTTGCTCAATCGTTTTTGTTATTTTCAACAGGATCGGATCATCATGATTTCGTAAATTTAATCCTTGATCTTGGACTTGAATATTTTTTTCATTATCATGGTCGAGGCTATTTTATAATTACGAAATTTTATTTTTATTATTTATTAAAATAAGCTATTGAATAAGATATATGGCATTTGTAAGATTATTTGATTTGATCACATCCGTTTTCAATAATAAAACCAAAAATGTCCATAATCATTGAAATTGTTGCATACGTGTATGCGATCACGTTGACCACATCCATTCATTTACAAAAGTGACACATTTTAGTATGCTTGTTTCAAGAATTTTTATGTTGGAAAGATGTGAAAACAATAACTACAACAATGTGATAATTGATGTTATCTTTGCAAATATTTGCATGCGACCGACAATAAAACGATAATGTGTTCCAAATACCATATACCTTGACCTGAAGAATTTCGGGTATTTAGATTACATTATTTATTTGGTATATTTTATGAGATAAAACCCAAAATCTCTGATATTTTGTCCAAATTAATATAATTTGATAGAAATCGATCTTTATGTATTACGTAATCGAATTATCAAACACATAATTATCATCGGTGTAAATTCACACATGTTTAATGATTACATAATTTGTTGTCTTAAACATCATCATCATCATGATGATGGAACACACACACTTGACAAAATGATGTTTTCCAAACAGTATTTGTTAGTGGTATATTTCTGTGTATATAAAATTACGCAACATGACATTTTAACAGGCGAAAGTGCTTTCAAACAACAACAACGAAAATAAAAAGAGAAAAAACAAAACATATGCATGAGATACGGCAATTTTGCAACAAAACATTTCTTAAAAAATTACATCATCGTAAACAACATGATTTTGATTTTGACAAACTTTAAATATTGGCAATATAGTAAACAAAAGTCCGCGACTTATTTTAGCTTCAGGCTCTCGCTTATGCAATAAAATGATTCGAATGAAATAAAATGATGAAACATGATCCGTATATATAAAAAAAACAAGAAATAATTTTATCACTCATGATTGGCGATGATAACATTGATCTTGAAATTATTTACATAAATAGCTTGTTGCGAAATATAGCTACAAAAAAAGAAAACAAAGCAAAAAAAAACACGAGAAATTTCTTTCATCTTCAAGATCGAACTATCTCTCTTGCTCTGGACCAATAAGATAAAATATGTTGAAGAGTCAGAGAATAAGTTGCAACTACTTTTAGCCGTTATGATGGGAGGAGAATTTCTAGTACGATTCTAAATCTGACATCTAATACATGGATCACCTCCCTTGTGTCATAATCATCTGTCAATTGAATATTGTTTTTTTTTTGTTGTAAAAATGTGAGCATTTTCTTCTATCAAAATATTGATGTTCCAACATTTTAGAACCATCATAAAGACATTGACATTGAATATTTGTGTGTTTTTTTATCGTCATCATCATCATCTTTAATTTGTAACTTGAAACCTTCGAAAGTCAATTGACCATAACATTGACAATGACCACTCACATTTTTTCTATGTTTGTCTCACATGAAATATATTCTAAAAACAACAAAAATTCAACAACAACATCAATCTTGGTGATAAAGAAAACAAAAACAACAAAAATATAGCTATGGATCAATGATCATAGTTCTTTATTACAATGTTCTTGTGCATCTTTGAATCATGATATACATCGATCGATATAAATACGACATTCAAATTAATCAATGTCAATTCATTCTTGTGAAAAACGCTTATGGTTTAATAATAATTCAACATACAATTGATCTACTATTGTTGTTTCATTTGTAGACGATAACTATTTATCGATATTATTTTGGTCATCATTTCTTCCATTGAGATTATAATCGTCAAAATCAAAATGAATTTTATTAAGGTGAGTTTTTCATTTGATAAAAATTCCATCATTTCAAACAACCAAATTAATCGTCAAATATTCAGTGTTTTTGTTGCTTGAACATCTCAACTATGCTGATGTTGATAGCATTCATAATCATTACATTTTTATGTCCACCAAGCAATCAATCAATTGGTTATTTTGAAAATTATGGCTGGCCATCATACGGCATTGTGAAACCATTTTGGATGGCACCATTTTCTACATATCCTACCGAACAAACAAGTGGTTATTCTCGTTCAGCCAGAATTCTTTCGGCTGGTGTTGTTCGTAATGCACCGGGCACACGTCGCAATGTTATGGGCTATTGAAAAAAATCGAATTTTTTGAAACTTGTAAATAATTCATCTGTAAATAATCATCGAATTGTTTTATCAAATTATTTATTTATTACATATTTTTACAATGAAATTTATTTTATTTTATTGAATAAAATGGAATTCAATCAAACATTTATTGCCAAATATTTTGTTACTATTTCTCTGTGCAATTCGAATGTCAACATCGACATCGCCTGATACGATGGATTCTCAAACGGCAGGAAGTTCTAATCGATCAATTGGAGAAACTCGTAGATTCTGTCTATGCGATGAAGAACGATGGCCGTTTTCAAAAGTTCGCAGATACATTCTTCGAAAACAACGCCGAAATTGTCCTGATTGCCATGAACCGTTCCGTTATATTACGATTAAAGATAAACCGATCACTTTGTATCGATATTTATTTTGTTCGGGTTGGCATGGTTTTAGTCTCATCATAAATTCATTTTTACAATTTTGGTTACTGTTTTACATTGCTTTTTTGGCTATCGTTGATTACCAGTTAAGTGGTGAAAAAATAGCCATGGAAAATATTTTCTCTAAGTCCAGTACCGATATCCGATATGTATTTATTACCCTCACCATTATATTTATAATGTCGTCAACGTATGCGACAATCAAAACAATTCTACAACAGTCAATGGAATTTCTTATCCGAACTGGATATAAATTAATAATCGATGTTCAATTAGCTAGATATTAAATATTCTGAATTTCACAATCGCGCTAAAAAATTCAAATTTTGTGTCTCGTATTTTATGAACTAAGCTCGCTTTTTCATATGTTGTTTTTAGTTGCAAAAGCAGCTGTCAATCTGAATTCCAATCGGTTGCCAATTTATCATAATAAATTCAAATTGTTGCTATATAGAATATCACAATAAAGCGATCATGTTTACGGTAACTGATAAATTTATTTATGATATTTAATTTTCTAAATGTTGTTTGTAATTTCAGAAAATATTCTTATCTGATCTTGGCTTTATCAATTTGATTTTAAAATCATCGCCTTACCGAACATCAAAATTTGGTTGTCCACATCTCCGACATCGTAGGCCATTGTCTAATCATGCAGAAAATTCAATTATTCAAACCGACGAGGCCTATGATATTGTCATTAACGGTGGTGGAATTGTGGGCTTTTCAATGTTTGCTGCTATAAAATCCTCGCCATTTTTGTCAGCCAAACGTGTTCTGTTGATTGAACAACAATCGCAGCCTCAGCCATCTTCATCGGCAATGCAAGAGAATCGTAAATTTAGCAATCGTGTATCTGCCATAACTCTTTCATCAAAACAATTTTTTGAACAATTAAAGATTTGGAATTCTTTATTGCCTTATGCGAAACCAGTTCATGCAATGTATGTATGGTCAAACCATTATCAAAATGGAATCAATTTTGGACACGATTCACCATATGAAGATGAAATGTGTTACATTTTAGAGAATACTCGTATGCTTCAAGCACTGCACGATCAAATTGAATCAAATTCGAATCCATTACAAAAAATTTCTTACAAAACTTCGGTTGTCGATATCAACCAAGATGTTGATGTGCGCGATTCGCAAGCTACTACGATCAAACTCAAGATTGTCGATCTGGAAGATACTGAACAACAGCAAAAATCAATTCAAACCAGGCTGTTGATCGGTTGTGATGGATACAAATCGATTGTACGCTCAAAATCGACATTGCCTTATTTCGAGGCTGATCTTGACCAAATGGGCATAGTGGGAACTTTGGAAGTTGAAACTCTTAATAAGGATAATAGTATAGCATTTCAACGATTCGTTAGTGATCAATTAGTAATTGCATTGCTGCCACTTGATGAATGTCATTCATCTTTGGTACTATCAGTACCTAAACAATCTGTACAAGATTGGATGAAGCTTTCTGATCAGGAATTCGTCTCTCGGCTCAACAATGAAATTATTCGTGAGCCAAAAATACAAAACCCGCTAGATAAGCTTGCATCTACATTTAATGTCCGTCAGCTTTATGGTAACGCTCAGATACGATCACCTCCAACAATTCGCTCAATGGTTGCTGGATCAAGGGCCGCATTTCCACTCGGGTTTGGTACGACCATACCATTCATGGTCGGTACAATCCAGGCAAAAGTTCCTTTATTACAAGCATTAGTTAATAAAGACAAACGTGTCAATACAGCAATTATTGGTGATGCAGCACATCGTGTTCATCCATTGGCTGGTCAAGGTCTTAATCTTGGTCTTGGTGATGCCAGTACATTGTTCTCATGTTTGGAATCAAAATCCTCTGCCGGTTATGAACTTTTTGCATCAAGATCCGATTCCTATGAAGCTCTCAGTCAAGCCTTATTTGATTTTGAAAGATGTCGAGTATTGAAATTGATACCGATGATGGCTGCCATACATTCGATGCAAACTTTATTCCATTTCACACCTTCGGTATTATTGCCAATAGTTAATCAGATGGACATGGCCAAAAAACTTATCGTATCGTTCGCTAATTCACGATGAAATCGAATCTTGTTTTTGTTTACTATAAAATCATATAATTATACTGTAAATTGTTTTTCCTTAAACTCATTTCAAATAATGGTCATTGTATGTTGTCCTCAATTCAATTAGTTATTTTCTAATAAATGATTTAAAGTCAAAAATAGTTAACGGAAAATAGACCATGAGGATGAGAATTTTTCCTCTTTTTCAAAACTTTGATCAAATATTGACAAAAAAAAATCTATAGGCAGCATAAAAATTTCGGGTTTTTTTTGGGTTGTGATTCGATAAATTCCTGTACCCAAAAATAGCAGTTTTGCGAAAAAGTAAATATACTCAAGGATTTGAGTCGGTTATATATAAAAGCTTTTGTCCGTGATGATTCGATGATAATTTTTTTCAGTTTTTTTCCAAGTGTTGATTCAAATATACCTTATGCGAGATGATTATTTTAAATTTTTGCCATTATATTTTCTTCGTTACTTTATTATTCATATTGTTCATCTTGGAAAATGTAAAAGTTAATGCGGACGATGAAACCTATTCTAGTCACTCAGAACATGAACAAAGCAGTTCACCTGAAGACATCGATCCATTATCAACCGTCACTAATGATACACGTCACGGAAGAAGTAAGGGTATTTGAATTAAAATTTAAATATAAATTTCATTTTATTATTGTGCTGATAGCATTCTTTTCCGACCTTGGTTTTCTTCGTCCTACTTTGTTCAACATTGTTCGATTCCCAAACGAGGAATGTTTGGATGCAAGCAATCAAAGTGGTACATGTTATACAGCTTTAGAATGCAAAAAACTTGGTGGTAATCCAAGTTCGAAATGCGCTAAAGGTCTTGGGACATGTTGCATCAGTATGTGTTTTTTTGATCTATAAAGATTTTGTCGTTCTTAATGAATCATAATTTTTACAGTGTCCAGAACTTGTCATAATAGTACTTATAACAAAGTTGTCTATTTCAAAAATCCCAACTATCCATTGACTGATTCGGAGCAAAATTTCTGCGATCTTAGCGTTAATATTGTCGATGCTGATATTTGTCAATTACGTATCGATTTTCTTGAATTTCAAATTGATCCTCCAACTGAAGGAAATTGTTTGGGCGATAAATTCACTGCAACAGCTTCCGGTATGACACCAACAGCTATTCCTGTGCTTTGCGGTAATAATCGTAATCAACATAGTAAGTGGCATCATGGTTTTATATAAGAAAATTTATTTAAATCTTATTTTCATCTCACCAGTTTACCTTTCATTGCCAACAAATCAAGAAAAACGTTCTGTATCGATTGTGTTCGAGACTAACGCTCTTGGTGACTATCGATTTCATTTAAAAATTACTCAAATCGATTGTCGTGTGCGACAACCTCCTGCTCAAACAGGTCCATTTTCGTCAATTTCAACCTTGGCTGCGAGACAGTCGCGAACCATTTATCAAAAGATTCCTAATCAACTAACATATCCTGCACCCACTGGTTGTCTGCAATATTTTACACAACCAACAGGAACAATTGAAAGTTTTAATTTTGGTCATTATCTCAACAACTTAGATTATGCTATATGTATTGAACGTCAACCTGATACATGTCGTGTTATTTATTCGGCGACCGATTTAAATTTCGGTATTGAATCATCACAGACGGGGACAATGCCAGCTGCCGGTGATCGTTATTGCAGTAATGATTATCTATTGCTTATTGGCGGTTCCCAAACCGGCGAAGGAACAACTCTGGATCGATATTGTGGAGGAAAGTTAGCCTATTCAAGTCTGGAAACTACCGAAACTCCTGTCATAACCAAAGCCAACGGACCGATTGTCGTTCGATTTCATTCCGATGCGACACATTCGGTTACGTTGAAGGAAGGTTTCCGTGTGAAATACGAACAAAGTCCTACTGAGTGTTCAACCGCCACTTCGGCTTCAAACAATCCATTATTGAATAATCCAAACAGCCCAAATCCATTCATATCACCTGTAGTAGTTGCTCTGATGGAATCCAATAGACCCAAACCAGTAAAATTACCACCATTTTATCACAGCAATCTGGACCAATCAGAAACGAATGATGTGGCCAGCACACGAAAACAACAATCACTTGAAAGCAAAGTGGAAACGGCATCGCTTGAAATAAAATCTAGATCCAATGGCAAGCAATTAGTTTTATAGTTTTTACTTTTTTTTTGTATGGGTTAATAAAATTTCAAATAATACAAAAAATGAAATCTACAATGTTCTTTGCATTTAGTAAGGATTGGCACGTTGAGGCCTAGTTGGATCGAACAATTTAGGGTCATTGTTATATTTTGGATCGCGATAAAACATGGACATAAGTCCAAATCGAACAGCGCGTGAATGTTCCTTTCGTACAGCCCGATGTTGACGTTCACAAAGTCCGGTAATATGTTTGTCATACATACGTCCTGTATATGGTGACACAAATTGACTTAACAAACGAACGTTCTGTAAGCATAAAATGACAATTAGCAAACTCTCGCGAAAAAATGTATTTACCTTGTAATCAATTTCAATTCCATAACGACATAAAATGCACTGTGGTTTTTCCTTCAGATATGGATTGGTCATATTTGGATCCGGCTATGGCCAAAAAAACTATTTAGTTTAATTAACTATTCGTAACTATTGACTTACTAGATCTTCATCGTGACAAGATTTTGGTTCGGATGATTTCGAACACATCAAGCGACTAGTATTGAATATTGTCGATGTTGTCCAACATTTTTGTCGCAACACTGGGAAAATTAATAATGTATTAATATTTTCACTTTTATATTAACAGTACCCAAATCAGTACACAAGAATGCTCACCGGAAAAGGCCAGATTAGTTAAGATTTTCATTTTAGATTTTTTTCCTCAAAACTAAATTGAAAAGCATGTGTAATTCATTTGATTACGTTATCTATGTGCGGATCGTGTTAGTGGTTGAAATTGTACGAAATGAAAAATTTTGAGTGTTATAAACAACATAATGCATTATTATTTAATGATGGAAAAAATCAGTTGTTTTCATGAATGGATGTCTCAAGTTTATGAATTTTTTTATTTTTTACCATCATTTGTAGATGATGGCTTATGAAATCGATAAACGTCTTATCACACTGGCTGTACGAGATTTACCTTTGAATCGACGGCAGCAATTATCCTCATATTTAAACGTCGAACAAATTCTTATGTCGGAATGTGGTCTTGCTCGTGATTATCGAGGTATAGCGCAACAACTAAATTTATCATATTCTGAGATTGCTAGATTGGAAAAGCTATGCGATCCATGTGGATCACTACTGAACTATCAACAGGTTGCTGAACTAAACGTATTTGACCTGTTCGAATTGTTAGTATCGATTGGCCGATTCGATATTCTTGATGACATGATTCCGGTGATTTTGGATGATATGGCCAATCGGATTAATCGAGAGCATAATCAATCGGCACAGAAACTTGTACCTATTCAACATGAATCGATCATTTGGTATGACGCTTATGTTTGTTATGCTGATTCAGATTTGGATTTCGTTCGTCGTCTAACTGAATACCTTGAATCACCTGCTGTCGGATTTCGTTTATTTGTTCGCGATCGAGATCTTATGGTGGGCAATTGGGTGTACGAAGCATTTGCTAGACTAATTGAAACACAATGTCGTCGTATGATCATCGTATTGTCGCCAGATTTTTTTCAATCTCATGATTGTAAATTTCAATCTATGTTTGCTGCTGGTTTGGCAATCGAGAAATGTCAGCGTATATTGATACCTATCATTTATAAGCGTTGTGAAGAGATACCATCAATTTTACGGTTAATGAGTAAAATTGACATGAGTAGTATGGCCAATTCAATACCCGATTGGTCAATGAAACGATTGATAATGTCGATAAGGCCGGAACAATCATCACCTCAGCATAGACAAATTGGACCGCCAAATCATCATCATCAATCTATTGAATTAAATGATAATAACAATAATGACGAAAATCCTTCCAATCATCAAAATGTTTTAATGCCATTAGAAAAATCTGAAACAATAACGATAGATTCTTCGATGGAAAACAATACTCAGATTAAAAATAACTCAATCATATCTGTGATATCGAACGACGAAAATTCATCATCAACTAGACCTTTAATTCCAAATGCTACTGTCACTGCATCTAGTAGTAAAACAGCAATGAACAGCGTTGATAAAAATCGCTCCAAAAATTGGATCAAAACAATCAAAAAGAAAATCAAAGTTGCTTTATAATTTTTTTATATTTTTGTTAAATTCTAAATAAAATAATATAATTTGAACTGCTCATTTATTCATAAATGTTTCTATATTTTCTACTAAGAAAAATAACATTCCAACATAAACAATGAGAATCTGGTTGATTGAGAGAAAAAAAAATTAAATAATTTTTCTCGTCAAATTCAATTCTTTTTTATACTTACATTAAGAATAGTTCGATTCGTAATTGTGCCGAAAGGTTCAAAACTAGGTCCATATTTCTTTCCATTATTTAATCGATCATGCCAATTTTCATAACGAAATTTTAATCGGCTGAATTTGATTGCAGGAATTATGGTCGATAAATATCTGGCAACACTGTGTAAGAGATGTGTTTGCACAGTCAAATTGCCAAGTAAACTGATTAATGATGAGCTATGAATGAAAAACATCAGATACACTAGTATTCGTTCGGAACCATTGCCTAGTGATCTTAACGATAACAAGCTAATCACATTGATTGGAACACTGAATGTAATGAAAATGAGAAAAAATGGACCCCATAATTCTTGATAAGCTCGACAAAAATACACGGACAATTGTAAATGTTCACGGTGCATCGCACAAAGTTGCTTTAGAATTTTGATAGACAACCAACGACCACAGAAGAATGATGTGCGTAAACGACCAACTCTAATTGAAACGTACATAGAAATATTGCGCAATTGATGTTTCATTAGATCTATCTGACCATTGACATAGGTAAGTATCAATAGTTGTATAATTACAATGAAAACTGTGAATCTTAATAACAACCATAGGAAATAAGTTATCAGACAAACTTCTCCGATGAATAGTGGCAATCGTTGCCATAGATAAAGTTTGAATGGTTGATAAAGAATTTGATAAGAATGTATGGTAATTTGTAAAGATAATGGGACTAAAAATTATCGGTTAACGATAAAAAGATTTGTTTCAGTTAAAATTTCGCTTACCTAAAGCAATTTTGATGATTGAAAAAATATGCTCATAAATCGTTTGTAAAATTATTAATCTACGACGGCAATTGATCGAAACTGTCGTTATTGTTTTGAATTCTGGCAAGGATGCAAATCGTTCTGGATCAACATGTTCAAAATTCAGCCATAATTTGAAACTGACCCAATTACGATAAAACCATCGTTTTATATTGTTCGAAGGAAAATCAGCCAGCATGACATCAATTTTTTCCCTAAATTCTTGTTCTGGTAACAAACATTGATTATATGATTGTCGATTAATTACAATCAAATCATATGGAAATTGAAAGGAAACGGAAAGAATATTTCGTGGATTATATATTAATTCATGAGCTCTGAACAAAATTGTCACGATCATTAGAATTAATATCATGAAATTAATATAAAGATTTTTATGATCTGCATAAATGCAATGACTATATGGATCTAATAGCCATAATTTGTGATGAGATGGTGTCGAATCAATCGTGTAGCTTATAATACACGACACTAATCGAATGAAAACTATGCTTATTACGCACGTATTTATACGATATTTAATTTTATATCGATGATCATTATTATTTTCGATAATAAATTTAAATTCATTATAACAAAAACCAGAGAAATCCATACTGGATCACAATAATAATGAAATTAAATTATTCGAACCGAATGATAAGGCTTCAGATGACAAAATGTTAGCGGAACAAAAACATTATTCATGAAGTGTTTTGTTATGATCTAAAACATTATTCATGAAGTGTTTTGTTATGATCTAAAACATTATTCATGAAACGATAGTGTTTTTATAATGAAGCTATAATTGATTTTTCACACATAACATTGAAAATAGCGTAACAAAATCAATTTGAAAAATAATGTACAAAATAATAGTAATAATTAAAAATTTATTATTTGATTAGCAAAGAACATTTTGATATGGCATTAGAAAGAATAGAAATACCGTATACAGATAAGATATTGAAACAGAATCATTTTGGGCACATGATATGAATCGAAATCAAAGTAAATTTTTTTACGAATGAATAACACTATTAAGTACTCTATGTGTGTAAATAATGACATTTCCCTACACGAATAATTTCGATCAATAACTAAAATTTCATTCAAGATAATTGAAAATTACAAAAAGAACGATTGTTTAATCAATCTATAGCAGTGATTCTCAACCCGTGTGCCGCGGCACATTGGTGTGCCGCGAAATTCTGAAAATGCAACTGATATATATTTTGTGCCGCTAAAATTGTGCCGCGACAACAAAAAGGTTGAGAATCAATGATCTATAGATTACATACACTGTCTTGTGACTTGTTGGTTGTTTAATTTAATTATTTTTATTTTTATTTTTATTTTTTGATGATGATAGATGATTAATCAACGATGTTGTGTAACAAGGTAAAAGGTAGATATAATCGATTATAGTATTTAATTATCTGTAAAACTTGGAATTTTTAACGATGGGAACTAGACAATTCTCGAAAAACATATAGAGATACCTTAATTTAAAATGATGATTACCGAACAAGAAGGCCATCAACAAGAATCATTAGTATGACTTTTAGTAAATGAATATATAATGGAAAAATTCCATTCGTTTTGATTAAAAAAAAGAATTTTCCAAATAACGAATATCATATCTACATTCAGTTATGTAAGCGAGTTAACTGATTTATTAATATTCAGACATGGTCTCCGGATCGACCACCATCGAATCGATTAAATTTTTTAATTTTATGAATGATAAAATTTACTTTTTTTCAGATAACATTCAAAAGATGGCGTATTGAGCAAAGATATTGTTTGCCGTGGATAGGAAATTAATTTGATGCTATCCTTGAAACATTCATTATAATTATTGTTCGAAAAGAGTCGACGCAATTCAATTTAAATAAGATGGATCCTCTTTCCTTGGATACAAAATGATTGGATTCGAATCGAAAAAAAATCATGTACTACTACCACGACAAAAATACAACTACATATTGTGTTTTTTTACGCTTTTCCATTCATATCTATCTTTTCACTAAATAATCATTTTTTGTATATTCAATGATATACATTCTTATATGTACATGTATAAATGTTTCCATCCGATTTGGCGCGTTTTTTTTCTATCACTGACGATTTTATGGATGTTGGATATTGTCGTCATCACCATCATCATCATGATCGTCGTTGTTTATTGCCGTCAGTTGGATTTTGAATCGTATACAGTGTTGAACTAAGTGTCGTTATAATGTTTGTTTCTTTCGTGGATGAAGGCCGTTTAATAAAAAATACCGTAAAAACCAACCTAATAATTGATACCAAAGAATTTTTCGAAAAAACAGCCATAGTTTTATTTTAATTTTTCGAAAAAAATCCTATTGTAATTAATCATTTCTTCCAAATTCTAAATTTTCAAAAATTATTACATTGTGATTCTTAACAAAAAAAAATCTTATTATTTAATCATCAAATTGCAATATTCAAGTCATTAAAAGAAAATTAGATTTTTCAAATTATTCAACAAATCATCATTTATTTGTGTGTACTTTTTTTTTGTTCGAAATACTGCTTTAATCATCATCGTCATCATCAATAACATTTTCCAATCATAAATCACAAGAGAAAAGGTATTTGATATTCATAGAATCATTTCAATCGAATATTGTTATGTAAGAATATTGACAAACAGAAAGTTGAATGAACATTATTCAAAAAAAGATTTGATTCATAATCCTAGCATAAAAAGTATTAGTGCAAAAAAAAACATTTTCTCATTGCTACCAACAATTTTATTTAATACCAACGAAGAAATGTTATCAATATGTTAGATAGGTATGATCATTTTGGATAAAATAAATATCCAGTTGGCATTTTTTTCTAAAAAAATCAAATATTTTACATATATCAATATACTAAACGATGGTGAAACTAAAAAAATTCTTTTCCATTTAATAACGATCTGATTTAATCAAAGTTGTTAAAGTTTGATAGGATTTTTTTTAAATTATTATTATTTTGAATAATAATTCTAAGATTTTTTGATTGATCATTTTTTTGTTTGTTTGTTTCACAGATTATTTTAAATTATACACTCACATCATGCATTTATATTAAATCTTTCAATGTGTGTGTGTGTGTATGTCTTTGATGTCAAAAAATATCTAATTCATTGTGAAGAAAATTCTTTATTCATCATGTTATTTTATGAAACAAATGCAATGTGACAATGATAATGAAAATAATATCAATAGTGTTTTTTTCAATGTTGTACAATGACAAACAACAAATAAAATAACATAACGAAAAAAAGAAACAAAATTAAATTGAAAAAAAAACGTCAGCATATATTATATCAATCGAATCGGTCGAAAATGTTATGCCAAAATCCATAATATATTTTGCAGCTAATCAACCAACCAACCAACAAATTAACTCAACTACCTACCTACCTACCTACCTACGTACCTAAAACATCTTATATTTAATGAATCAATTAAATTACGACAATTACATCATATTTCGCCAAATCGAATCCATTATCAAAACCATTTCACATCTTATCTAATTTTTTTTTAAACAAATTATTATTATTTTCAATTTTTGTTTTTTTTGTTTTTTGTTTTTTTTTTTTTTTTTTTTTTTTAAAAAAAATTTTTTTTTTTAAAAAATTTTTTTTGTNTACCTAAAACATCTTATATTTAATGAATCAATTAAATTACGACAATTACATCATATTTCGCCAAATCGAATCCATTATCAAAACCATTTCACATCTTATCTAATTTTTTTTAAACAAATTATTTTTATTTTCAATTATTGTTTTTTTTTTTGTTTTGTTTTTTTTTTTTGATTAAAAAAAATTTGATATTTTACAAATCATTCTATGACAAATATACAATTATACTTTCTATCCCATATTTTTCCCGGTAAATAAATAAATTTTAAAAAACGAAAAATACAATCTCAAATCAATAATCTCATAACATACCATTTTGACAAAATTATATTAGTCTTATCTTTTTTCAAATATTTAATGTCAATTTTACAATTGTTGTTTTTGTTTTGTAAATGATCATTTCCGTTTTTATTATTATTATTATTATTTAAATTCCGTTTGTTAAGTTAATTAAACAATTTTTTCGTTATCATATAATTTGTACAACACTGGTCTTTCAAATGTATGTTTGTTTTTTTGTTTTTCTGTAATGATACGATCTTCAAATATTTTTCACACAAATATATAAATAAATAGGTAAGTTCAAATAAAAAAAACTTTTAAACTGAATCCTTATCTTATTATTCATTTGTTTTTTTCTTTTTTAAATTTCAAATTTTCATAATAGATATACCATTTTTTTTCTTTCTACATTTACTTTAGATATTTTATTTTATGAAATTCTTCATCTTTTGATCATTTACATCATTTTATTTTATCTCATTCAAATGATTGTGTTCTCTTTTTTAACGTAAACGATCGACTCATAAACAATATTGGTGTTTTTTTTGTCTCTATATATACAAATTCTTTTAAAACAAATAATATCTTAGTCAAAAAAATTTATTTACGAAAAAAAATTATGAAATTTTAAATGTACCAAAAAACCAAACAAAATTATGTATTTATCAAGTTATTATCATTATTATTTTTGATAATATTATGGAAACATTGAGTTTAGAATTAGATTATTCTTCACCAACCACAACATCAACAACAACAACAACAACAAAAACAATTAAAAATATGACGAAACATTCAAATGGATCAATAGCTATCATCGAAACATTTGAATCAAATCAAGATGAAAAATTGGATGGTCATCCAAAATATCATCATGAAACAACTAAAACAATTATTAAAAATAATACAACTAGTCAATTAATAATCAATGATGATAATAAAAATGATAACGATAATAATGATGACAATAATGATTATGAAGATGTTAATGTTGTTGTTGTCGATAATACGAAATCGGCCACTATCAACAATAAACATCAACAGGACAACGACACGATTTCAATTTTGGCCACAATTAATAATAATACCTTGATGTCGCCATCAATGACAACATCGACAAATATACGTAAAAAAGAAAATACGAATAAAAATTTTACAATCATGATTGATGATCTATTTATTCGTAAATTATTACATCAAATGTAAGTAATTTTTTTTTGTATTTTTCTTTTTCTCCATCAATTTTTGTTTTATGCTATTGATTGATTTTCGTTTGTATATATCGTCAACATTGTCTACAATATATATTACATTGTGTTAAAATCCTACAACTCGTTCAGCTGGTTATTTTAGTATCATTTGAATGATAGTAAATTATAAATTATTTTGATTGACCTTCACTTGGTTAAAATGAAGTTTGAGTTTCTTCAAAGCAAAAAGAAACTTTCATTTGTGTTGTCTGTTGGTTTAAAAAGAAAAATTTTTATCATAATTTTCTTTATATAGACATTTTGGGATGCCAAATGTTTGTTGAATTTTGGCTAGTATGTTGATTGTCATTGTGTACCGCTTATTGATTTTGTTTGTTGTTGTAAATTTTCCTCTTCTCTTTAGATACTTACAAAAAAACATGTGTACTTTATAAAATTTAGGATTTTGGTAAAAAAAAATTATGATTGATTCCTATGAATTGATTGATTGATCGATTGATTATGTATCCATAGTATATTAGTGATAAATGATGACGTATATTATATTTTGTATATGAAAGTTATAATGATGATGATAAATTTATCAATTTATTTTTGTTTTCATATATCAAAATGCGGCATCATTTCTATGTATGCTTAAATTTTTGTTTCTATTTTCTTTTTATTTTCTTATTTGGCATTAAATTTCATAATTGATCAATCATCATCATCATCATTATAATGACATTGATGACATTTCAACAATTCAATAAGAATGAATGAATTTATCATTCACAATGAATGAATATACACACACAAATGAGACATGCACGCACGTACATAATATATGGCACCAGAAATTAAAAAAAAAGAATGAATTGTTCAAAAAATATATCATTATTTAAATGAAAAAAGTCAAGTTTTGATGATATCTGAAACCATTAAAAGAAATTAACAATACAATGAAAATAAAAAAAAATGTTCAGATTGTGATATTCAGTATTTGTGATGTTTTTTGCTAATCACATCGATATGACAATCATTGAAAATAATCAAGTCCTTATATACTTGTGATACAATTTTATGTATGGATTTTTTTGCCAAAAGAAATTATTTTTTATCAATGAATTTCTGGGATAACAAACAAACACAAAAGCTTTGCGTAGCTTCTTAATATCAACATTAATACCAATGATATACATGGAAATAGAAAGAGTGCATATTGTAGGACAATTCAATGCCAAGGAAAAATATTGTTTGTCTTTCTATATATAAAATGCTTGTTTCGGTGCATAAATGATGCGTCTGAATTAAATGTGTATGTGTTCATATATAACACTCTTATATAATATTGATGCTATATAATAATTAAAATAAGCAAATTTATGAATGGTCATTTGTCCATATATTTTATAATTAGAAATTAACAAATGGAAATTTCATAATGAAAAAAATTTGTTGGGAATATTCCATCAAAAAGGAAAGTTTTGTTTTGATGAAAAAAATCTGTTCGATCTCATTGATTCATGTGCACTATAGATACTATTGTTTAATTTAATGATCTATTTATAGAATAAATTGATTGTCGAAATAGGGTTGATGTATTATTAGATTTTTTTTTCACTGATTTTATTCCTAAAAATTCGTATCCAAATTTCTCACGATAAAATGAAATTATTTTGAAAATTCTGTTTACGTTTATCGGATATTCATTTTGATTATTATATTCTTAAATCTTCCACTGACATTTGTTAACAAAGCTTTCAAATATGACGCACATAAGATCAATCAATCAAAAGAAAATGTCATTACAAACTGGAACAAATTAAACAATATTGTTTCTGGCACTATGAACGCCAAATTCTAATCTAAAGTCTCCATTTAAGATAATTCTGGAAAAATTTTGATTAAAAAAACAACATCTACCAAACATTTCTATGTATGTCATTGCACAATAAGATTTACTTGCAGCTAAAGTTTTTTTCCTTCTCATTTTTATTTCCCACATTTTATAGGGATATTGCTTCATTGAAAAAATATGTATGTCATGAACTTGACACTGAAAACGGAAACATGAAGCCAACAAAAATATCCGAAAAAATTTCAAGGTCCACTTACATCCACATAATGATATAGTCAATAATCGATCGAACATCAGAGATTCGTGCGTAAGCGCATACCATCATCGAATAAAGAAATAATAAATGAAAAACCTGAAACAAATCTTGGATCTCTCTTGCAAAATGATGATGTGTTGTTCTTATTGGTGTTTGTTTATTTTTCCTTTTTTTCTATTTATGTAATTTGTGGATGTTTGGGCGTCATTCATTATATAGCAAAATCAAACAAACACATTCTACATGCTACCATCATTCGATTGGCATAACATTGAACTAGATTTCAAATATTCTGTATATGAAAATAGAATTTTGAAAACAATAACTATGAAGAATCTTTATTTCAGATAGAAAATTGTTGATTTTCATGCGCTGGCGATTGTCGTCAATGCCGTTGTTGTCGCTCTTTCTTTGTTGCTAAATGTTTGTTATGCAGGTTTTGTGGCTAAAACTATAATTTTTAATTCGCTTTCGTCATCGCGGAAAATTCGTTGCCATTGAAATTCTGTGCACTACCGCTACTTGGCCTCGACCTTTAAGAATAAATTTGAAGGTTGCTTTTTCTATTCATGAACAACATAGTAATGATATGAATGAAAGAAAAAATCAAAAATGAACAAAAGTAGAACAGTTTTCGTGGATCTATTTGAAGTATCGCATTGAATTTTTTTTTCATTGCCATTTGAATCTTGCATGGAACATAAAATCCTTGGCATTGGTTTGATTGACTCGAAAAAGACAAAATGTTAATGTTTTTCATTGATAAGCATCCAAAATTGTTGACTTGGATTCACAATTCAAAATGTAGGAACAAAAACCAAAAATAAATGTATGCCATAGTCACATGCATGGACTGAAGTGAATTAATTTCACGATCACTTTTATTAAGCAACAACAAGGTTTATTTTTTTACCATTTCGGAATTTGACGTCTCAATATTAGTGTAGGTGTTTATTGACAATATTCTTATATCTAATATCATAATGTAAATATCGAATGGTCTCGTCAAACGATTCAAAATGTTTGTTTTTCTTCAATTATGCGTAGGTTTTTTCTTTTCATTTTGGAACATAAAAATAAAAAACAAAAAATAGGAAAAGAAATCATGTTCAACTGAAAACATCATCGTCATCAGGATTATGATTATTATTGTTGAACATCATTTCGATGATTGAAACGGATATATTCTTTTTGTCGTTTCAATTAATTCTAATGATGAACAGATATTTCTTTTTAAAGCTGTTTTCTTTTTTTCTTTTTGTTGTTGCTAACTATGATGGTTACAGCTACATTTTATTTATTATCGATGTTTTACATGGAATTTTTCTAGGAAAATAGGAAATGACATAGTGAGATATGTAGGATATAGTCGCTGCATTGTCACTCTGAATATATACATACTAACATAGATTTTTTATCGCTTTGTTAATAAATTCTTTTTTTTCTTTTGTTGTTGACTAGTTGTCCGCAAATATTTGATGAAAACTGGCTTGAGCGATTCACACAGCAATATTTACAATCCTTTCATGAGAAAAAATGTACATTGCGTGTTCGAGAAATTCTCGATCTAACATTGTCATCTAATTCAATGACTGCTGTAGATGAAATATTTGTCTATTGGCCAATTCACCATCAATCTACCAATAATATTGATGATGAAAATGATAACGACCAAGAAATTTATATTGATTCATCATCAACATGGCTACAATATCGAGATGCGATGACCTATTTATATAATTTCTGTGAACTATTAATGTCAATCGAAGCTAAATTCGTACATGCTAAACAAAAAGATATGTGCCAACAATTGGCAAGAGAAATACGTTCTTATCTTTATTGGATTACCAATGATGACCGATTTAAAGTTTGTGGCAGCAATGATAATGAAGAAGAATCACCGCCTCTTTTTCAATCATCACCAGTTGATTTGATCGGCGGCAACATTGACAACCATCCCAAACCACAACGAAAACAAGAAGAAATGTCTTCCAATGTCATTAGCCATAATTATAATGATAGTTATAATAATTGTCAACAACAGCACAAATTATTCCATTCAATTTTGCAACATTTGTTGAGGATTTTGTATGAAATTCTAATGAAATTAAATCAATCCGATGATCATGTTAATAGCATTAGCAATCAAAACAATGATATGGTCGTAAATAATAGTTTGAAATTTTTTCAAATATTCAATAAACTTTTCGAACGATTTGAATCATCATCAACCGATCATACATCATTGTATAATCAATGGATGAGACAATTGAATTCATTATTGATGATGCTGATGAAATATGGCGCTAATTATCAAATTCAAAATAATAATGATTCTGACATTGATAACAGCAATGTTCTAACCTACATAAATGATGGTCATAATTGTAATCGTCAATCTACTTCATCTCAACAATCTTCTCCTCTTGCTCCTAATCGATACATGGAAACTATAACATCAAAATTGTCGTCCAATAATGATTACAATAAAGCTGCTTTATTGAATATGGAATCCAACAACAATATCAATCATGCTAACGATGTTGATGTCAATAGTGATGAGGATGATGATGAATGTTCAGCCATAGCTTCAGCTATAGCTAACATTCCCCCTTCAAATGATATGATCACTACTAATAATGATCATCTAACTGCTGCATCAATAAAATATTTTGAAAATCAATCTTTGTCATCGAATCGTTTTCAATCCTTCAAATCACCAATACCAACTTTAACTAAACTCACTGAATTCGAACTGAGTGATGCAACAATTTCACCGGAGACAACGATCGATCCTTCTTCGTTTCAACAACAACAGTTGCAGACACTTAACAATTATCCAAATCAATCATCTGATTGTCCTATAAAGATGGCCATTATTAATAATGATAGTGGATCGCAGGCAAATTCTAATAGAAATACACATATCGAACGTAATACAAATTCAAGCGCTGCATCAGTTTCGAGTGGACCTTCAAGCGGAGTAGGATCTCTCTGTGATTCCTATCCTCGCAGTGTTGGAATAAACGGTAGTTCTGGATTAGGCTTGATTGAACAGAATTCCAACATTCTTATCCATAACAACTTGAGTCCAGCATCTCAAGAATCATCATTGTCACCAAGCAAATTTCTTCCAGCCGGATCTGTTTTATCATCATCGGCTTCAATGACACCATCACCAGCCGATTTCGCCCCGGTGTCTACCGGTAATAATGGTTCTACTACCAATGAAAATGCTCTTTCGATGTTACTTCAATTGAATAAATGTCAATTGATAAATGATCTTGTTGATGGACTTCCTAAACTGATAACACCACCACCATCAGCTCCGCAACACCAGCGTCAATTTCCAAACAACAACAATATTGTAAATCAATCAAAAGATTCACCAACATCGAATGTTTCCAATCAATTCGGATTTGATTTTAATTCCCTGAACAGTACAAATCATAATGCGATTAATCGTAATCCTCAACGTCAACCACAACAACCGATGTCAGATGAATCATCCAATTTTGGCTTTAATGATAGTGATAGTTCCAATATTCAGAATGCCTCATCATCGAATGTTGGCAATAATAATTTTTTCAATGATTTCAACATAAATTCGTTGTTTTCATCATTTGATGATAACGTTTCCGCAGTCGAATCTGGTGCATTTATAACAAATCATTTCACTAGTCAGCCACAAATTCAAACCACAAATCAACAATCGACATCCATTTTAAAACAGTATCCAGACAATGATCCTAATATCCAGCTACAGAATCAATGCTTTACAATGACTATGCTTGAAGGAAACGAATCTCAACAACATCCGCAACCACAACAACAGCAACAGCAACAACATCGTAATCAGGCAGCGAAGTTTCCTATAACCCAGTCCACAGCAAATAAACAATTGTCCATGATGTCGAAATATATGTCAACAGCGTCTACAATGCCGCAGCAACATCACACATTGACTACTCCACCAAATCTAATTGCTGGCCAACATCAAACATCTCCAAATATTCATTCGACAATTGACCAATCGCAACAACAAGAAGAGCAATTTTGCGAGCGGCAAACGTTGTATCGTTTAATTATTAGGTATTTTCAGGTTTTTTTTGAATTCACAAGATTTCTAATAAATTTTTTTCTATTTCCAGCCAACTTTTATTCGATGGTCATCGAAATATTGCTTGCCATATTTCAAATGCGGAACACATCAAATGCGATAGTTTTCTAATTGGTCCTAGCCAAGAGCTTCACAAGTTGGTCACTTTTGCTAAAGCTAAAAAGAAGGGTTTGTTTTCAAATTTTTAGTTTTTTGATTGGAATATAATTTGTCTAATCTAAATATAGAAGACATTCTCATCGATAAACCGATTCAAATGACCCTGTCGAATGCAAATAATGCAGGATTTTCCGTAGCGGGTCGTGCAACTACCAATTCCGCTACTAGTCCATTCTATGATATGATTGATTCTAACTGTACGTCGGCACAAAATTCATCGTTAGCAGGAAGAGCATCACTTCCGCAACAAGCATCTCACGCTCTTCGTATGGATGATTGCAATCAATATGTGAAAAATATTTTCGATGATACTTCGAATACTTTGACTGGGATCGGTTCATCAAATCCCATGTTTTCTGCTAGGAATGAAAGCGTTGGATTAGCTTCCTCATCATCAATTGTTACACCTCAGACATCACAATCTCAATCGATTTTGGATTCCTATGCTGACCTCAACAGTTCTACAACAGGTTTGTTTTCCAATTGTTCTCTTTTGAGATATTTTTATTCTTTTTCTTCACAGATTTATATAGTCCATCAAGTGGAACAATTGATTATTTTTCAGCTAATCGAAGTCCAGAAGTTTCAGGAATGAATGCAGCAGCTTCTATGTTCGGAAAATCATCTGATTTACAACAAAGACAATTGGTTTTGAGCAATAGCCGGGGAGCTGGTTCTGTATCAGCTGCTGCTACCGGTTCTAATGAATTGGTTTTGACCGAAGCATGTCTAAAAAACTTGAATCAGCTTGCCAAACTGAATTCTGGTAAAACAATCTCATTGATAATGAGATTATTTGATCTTAATTTGTAATTCATTTATTTGTGTAGGTCCTAATAGCACTGCTGCCATTAATCATCCGTCATTGATGTTTGGCCGTTCAGCATCGGCTATGGCCACGATGTCTTCGCTTGGAAATGGAAACGGTTCAGCCTCTGCTTCAGCTTCCAACAGCAATAACGGTTTATCACGATCTCCTTTGACCATAAAATCACCCACAGGACATTCTTCTGCTTCTCATACGACTGGTCAAGGAAAAAGCCATCAGATCATGCAAATTGTTCATAAATTTGGCAGTCTTGGTCAATTGAAATCACAATTTTCGTCGCCACATGGATTCTGTTTGGGGATGAACGATGAGATTATTATTGCTGATACAAACAATCATCGTATATGTGTTTACGATAAAAACGGTGTCTGCAAACAAATGTTCGGAAATCCTGGAAAAGATGAAGGGCAACTTTGGTATCCTAGAAAGGTAACTAATTATTATAATATTTATCATCTCAAGTTGATACTAATTACTAATTTTTTTTCAAAAGATCGCGATGATTCCTCCCAACTTTGTCCGTTCGAATGCTAACAGTCCTTATTATGTAATATGTGATCGTGGAATGGAACGTTCTCGAATGCAAATATTCACTCGGACTGGAAATTTTGTTCGAAAAATACCGATTCGTTATATTGATATTGTAGCTGGTATTGCAATTAATAATCGTGGACATATAGTGGTTGTCGATTCGGTATCGCCAACCATCTATGTCATTACAATCGATAATGGCACATTAATCGAATGGCGGGATTGTGGCAATTATATGTGCGAACCATCCGATGTAGCAATTTATGACGAAGATTATTATATTTGCGATTTTAAAGGTCATTGTGTTGTTGTCATCAATACGAATGGAGATTTCATTAGAAAAATTGGAATGGAAGGTTTAACTTCGTTTCCAAATGGTATTGATATATCACCAGCTGGTGATATATTCGTCGGCGATTCACATGGTAATAAATTCCATGTGGTCGTATTTAATCGTGATGGCCGTTTGTTGGCCGAATATGAATGTCCCTATTGTAAAGTATCACGATGCTGTGGTTTGAAATTGACCAAAGACAATAATATCGTCACATTAGCCAAGAATAATCATCATGTGCTGGTCTTGAATCCAAATTTTCAACAACAATTGCAATCACAACCGACACAGCTGCAACAACAACAATCCGTATGAAATGTTAAATTCGTCAAATTCATTTCATTTCATTAATATCAATAATGGATTTAAACATATGAATTCATTGCGATCATCAACAATTTGCTGCAATTTTTCTCACATTCTTTGAAATGATAATAGTGACAATACCATCTACTTAAACTTATCAATCATTGTTTGATTGTTATCACAATTTTTTCTGGCTTTTAAATGCAAAAATATACGAATGAAAATGTGAGACACATCGCTTTTCGCACATTTTATTCATCACAATTTATGAAATTTTATATGTTGTCATTTTCTCCTATCTGAATATGATCTGTTTTTCTTTTTCAATTTGTATTCTCTCATACAAAAAATGCTTTCCTTTTTCTTTTCAATTTTTACTCCGACTTATTCGAATCGTATCGATGCATTCCTTAATTCAATATTATTGTTCTGGTTGTTATTGTTTTTTCTATACATTTAATCCTTTTAATAATTTTTTTTCATTCAATCTTAACCTTTTATTTTTCTCTATCAATGCTGATCATTTTCCTGTGAAACATCTTGTCTTTATTCAAGTTTGTTTATCTTACACAGAAGACTCGAAAATAGCCATAGTTTGCACCAAATTTATTGAATAATCTTTTTGAGCCATTTTTTCTGTCATTATAATTGCTTTTTATCGTCAAAAGTATTCTTGATTTTATCTTTTTCTTTTGAAAATTAATGATTTTCTTTTCATCTCTAGTCGAGTTTTTCTATTGAACAAACGATTCAATGACACCAATTGAATAATTAATAAGTATCTTCAATGAATTACACAATAACACAATATTCTGCATGGGATATCAATTATTTTCGGATTTTGATTTATTTTTTTCTATTGATTTCTTTATATACTTATTCTGTTTTTTTTTATTTGTATAATTAAATAAATGTATCACGACAATTAGTATGTTGGAAAAAAAGTCGTGCCAAACAACTGAAAAAAATTAACAAAAATGCCACCATCAAATAGTAGGAAATGATTTTTCTTCTCAATTTTTTTTTTGTTTTTTTTTTTAAATTCATTGTATATGAGACACAATGTGTCACAATCTGTGTACTTCCTTTTTTTAAAAATTTTGTTTTTTGTTTTTTTTTCTGAATTGTTATATTATTACGTATACACTTATAAACAACATACAACTTATGTACAACGAAATACACATCCACCAGAGATAGATCAAACAAAAATTAATTATTGATAATAATTACGAGTTACGATGTTTTATCAACACAAAAATAATAACAGTGATTATATACTCACAAATCATGCACATCGAATATTGAATAATTTTTAACTTTCAATGATAATTTGTATACCTCTTCCTATACAACCATATTTTTTCAACATATGGACAAACTTTTTTGTTTCTTGAATTGAAATCATTCGTTCATTTTGTTCTGTTTTAGCATCAATGACCAATCTTTAATTCTGATTGATTCTGATCACTTGTTTTCTTGATCAATGTTGATTATTTTCTTCATCATTTTTCATGATTAGATTATTGATTTATTAGCGAATGATGATGGCGGTTTTAATTTTTTTTTGTGTTGTTGTTTTTGAATTTTCTCAAATCATTTTTAATAGTTTATAAATTTTTATTCGAATTCTTAAACACTTTTAATTATTATATAATCTGTTAATTATATTTTCATCGTGTTATCATCTACTATTCTCAGTCATTCGTCGAGTGTTTTGTTGATTTTTCTTTTTTTACCAATTTTACCACAGCTTCTATACATGTATTACTTTTTGAATGTTTGAATTGGTTTTTTCCGTTGATTATGATAAATTAATAAAACATTATTTCCTCATTATCACAACATTGATGAATTGAAAAATTTTAAAATTCATTTTCATCGATTTCATTTATGAATTATTACGACACATTTTGCTAATTAGATTTGATTATTCAGTATTTTCAAATAAAATTAAAAATTAATTTCAAAAAACAAAACAATTGATTATGATAAATTATAATATAATATAATTAATATAATTTCAATCAGTTTCTTGAATGAATTTTTACTTCAAATTTGAATTTATTTACGAAAAATTTATTTTGAAAAACAATACATTATATAGCATTTTGATATACAATCGGCAACAATTACAATTATTTATTGCTTAACATATATGTAGCCAAAATAATCGATTGTTTGCCATTATTTGCGTATGAATTTTTTTAAAATGATGAATTCTTATAAATTTCGTATGCTTTCAGATGAATGCCAAAATGTATTGAAACCACCATTGTAAATTATTTACCTTATTTTTCCAGTACATCAAGTGATTTACTCAATTGATACTGTTGTCGTTTAACCATTTCTGGCTTGACTGGCAATCGTTTTAGTTGTCCATCCCATTCCAAATCGATTAATCCACCTTTTCGAGCTATTTCACTCTTCACACGATTGGCAAATTCGATTGCATTTTCATCTTTTCTTCTGTACATCGGCGGCAGAAACCTAGTGTCGGATGTGATTTAGATTTTCATTTGTTCATTTAGGCATTTAATATAAGTTAGTCAAACTTACCATACATCACAAACGATTGCCCAAGAAGTCATCATCATTATCATATAGCGCCCATATCCATATTTACTTGAATTCCAGAATGGATCCCCAAATCGAGCATCATATTTGATCGCTACAGGATAGATAGGTGCATCAATTTCAAAACTACCTTTTTTGAACATCATTACAGCCGAATTATTTATACAAGTGCCCTCAGGAAAAATCAATATGGGCAATTTACTTTTATCTTCGGCATGTTCGCGAAGTCTACGTGATACATAGTGACGATCATTAGATTCGAAACGATCAAACCAAATATGATGTGTAGCTCTATTCAATGCTCTTTGAATTAAACCGATAACACCGGGTTGACGTTGACCGACCAATGCATAGGCATTGTTGCAATGTAAAATGATCACATCGATTGGTGATGTATGATTAGCCACACATATACCACCAGGTTTAGCTTTGTTCTGTGAATCATGATAGGTGATGACTGCTGAAAATGAACGGGATAGAATTCGAAAACTCATTACTGATATATAATGATAAATCAAACGTTTCATCCATGGGATAGGAATAAGACCAACTAGAAATGTACAAGTCACAAGCCATGAAACTCCAATTAAAGCTATCGCCAATCTTGAGGGAAATAAGATCACATAGCGAACAATTAATCCAGCCATCCAAATAAATGCTAATCGGGCTGATTTATAGTGATAAATTCCATCAGTTCTTGTCAAAAGATTCCATGTTTTTAGTTCTTCAGCTGCGAATCGTTTTGTAACTGAATCATCGATGATTGCTCGTATGCCCATCGTTGTTAAATTCATGACGGTAGTTAGATCAAGTTTATGTTTGGTTTTATCCATTTCTATCGATAAAGCTTTATTGTAAGCAAATGCAGCAGGAACTATGAAATCAAAGTTGAAATTGAATAAATATACAAATGTTAACATAAAAGAAGATTTACCATCTGAACTATCAAAATCTTCACAGAATGCTGAATCGGTATCCGATTCATCTGAATCTGGCATTGTTGCAGCTTTTGCAGCTAATTCAGCCAATTGATTGAGATCAGCATTAACCGACATAGCTCGACTTATTTTTCGTTGAATTTTTCTTTCTTGTTGAATGTTTTGTTGAATTTTTTGGATTTTTCTTTTGCCATAATCGAAAAGTTTCAATAATCGGCTGACATATAATTGATGCACAAAAAAACGATGACCAACACTAGCCAGGCCCAAATATAAAATTAATGCTATAAAATACAGGATGATCATCATTTTGTTTATTTTTCTTTATATTTCACTCAATGACTCAAAAAAGTTTAGACAATAATCAATTGATTCAACCGTTTTGAGCAATAATGATCATGGCTTGTATCATCGAAACCTTATCGACAAATGATGATTGTGAATATGCGAATGAAATATGATCATCAACAACCAACATCATATTTGTGGTACGGCGGCAATTCATCCATGTATCACTTGTTGATTTTCAGAAAATTTTTTTATAAGAACCATATTTATAGATGTACCAATAAAAATGAATTTGTCCGAATAAACTTATAAGAAGTGTTAACTCATTCTTATCATATTGTTCGTTATTTGTAATGATAAGTTTAAAACAATCTTATCACATTCTTCTTTTCATGTAGACTTCGATTTTTTTCTATGGATAATAATATCGCGTGATTTGTTCCTGTCGTCAATCAATGATTTTGTACCATTAATATCCAAACACTTGTTCACTGGTAGATTTTTCTTTTCTGATAACTCAAAGAAGCAAAAAAATTCGTCGGCAATCCATCGTTGGATTTACCAGGAAAGAGATGCTTCAAATGCACAACATACAATTTTTTTAATCGCTATGGTTTTTAGCTTATGTACAATCAATAATTGATGATCGAATCATAATATGAATAAATCTTTCAAAATAAATCGATTAGTACAAATAATTCTCATTCATTTTGGAATCTAATACAATGAAAAATGTATTTTATTAGACATACGATAATGTCAATCATGTTCATTGTGCACTTAAAATGCCATATCATACTATATAATTGTATTGATTTGGATATATTTTGATGTTCATTATGATCATTAATTATAAACAGTATGATTAGAATGATGATGGCAAGCATCCAAAAAAAGTTATGCATTTTATTATCATCATCATCAAAAAAAATGAGGTGCAGATCACAAGTTCAAGAATTTTTTATTTTTTTAACTATTATTTTGCTTGTAAAATATCAGTTTAAATGATAAAAACAATGTTAATATGCTTAGGTTGAATTTAAAATTTCCAACACTTTTTTGTTGACCATTTCGCCCGAATTCTTTGCCCAAAACAAATCCATATGACTATATGTTTGATCTGGTATTTCATAATCGTCTAAAAGTTTAACTATTTCATTTGATAAAAAAAATTAGAATGATGTTATCAGGTTTCCAAAGCCATACATACCATTCAGTTTGGATTTTAAACTCTGCACACTATTTCCAATAAGAAAATCTTTCTTTGCATAGATTAGGGCTATTTTTGTCGAATTAATCTTTGCCACATCATAGATGGGTGGTGTTCGTTGTCCATAAAATCGTAGATTTTCTGCTTCACCATAATCAAAATATTCCAATTGACACTCCTTTGTTGTCTCACTATCAATACTACTATTCATCATATTGTCATTTTTTAAAATTAGTTGCATAAGATGCGCTGTGACCCATGTAGATGCTCCCATCGTTTCTGCTCCAATATAAATTGGTAAACGTTCCTATGGATTGTATTTTAAGATAAGATTTTTTTTTGTTTTGCTGTAGAATTAGTTATTTTTCTTACCGGAAATATAGTTCGTTTTTGTGTACCAACTATTAAATAATTGAACACGAAACACAAGTGTTTAATGAAATAATTTTGACATAATGTTCGCAATAATGATGATATAATCAAAGGCGGAAATCGTTGTGGATATGAAAGAAATACATTTCGCATGCTTGCAGAATATTTGAATAAAGAATCAACTTTGGAATGAAAACTACAGAATGCTGGAGCCAAAGCAATAAAAGGTTCAATTTTCTCCGCATATGAATTATTCATTGACATTAAAGCAAACATTATTAATGCTCCTTGTGAATGAGCTATATATGATAATTTAGTATGTTTCGTATAACTTATAATATAATCGATTTGAACCGGAAGATCATATTTTATCAATTGATCCATTGAAAATTTCCAATATTCACTACCTTGAAATGAATATTGATGAGGTATAAAATATATCAAAAATCTGGAATTACTTGCTTTCAATATCTAGATGAGTATGATTTCTCGAATAGATGCTTCCTCTATAATTAGCCAACCAAACATCATAACCTCTTGCTGTCAGAATGAAACCCAATGAATTTCCCATCTGATTACTACTGTTTGTTAAAATTTGTTTTTGTTCATCCATTTCATAATAGTTTCCATTATGATCTAGATGACCATTCATAGCAACAAGCCATATTGTTCCTGAACATTGATAACCATGATGTAATAGAATGGGACGCAGTCTGATACGATCTTCTATTTTGATGAATGGATTTACCATGCGCACTAATTGAAGAATATAGCCATCTGGCGTGGTAACAAAATGTTGTTCATATATGAAGCCTCTAGATTCAATTAATTCAAACTTTTAAAGTGAATTGAAAAATTTTACTATAATAAATGGATTAAATTTTTTTCTGTAAGGACAAACATACAATATTTCGATAAACATCATCACTGATTTGATATGTTCCAGGAATATTTGTAACATGAAACATATATTTATAAATTGAAAATTGTAAATATTGGATCATTGCGGCCAGCATCGCTACAGTTAACATCATAACCAAGCCAAATACTTTGATGAGATGGTTCATGTTTATTGAGTTATGTTATGAATATTGATTTATAGAATTGATCTGCAACCCAACTAGAAAAATCAAATAAATGTGAAATGTTTTTCCTGGATGAGTGAGATTTCAACAATGATTAACAATAAAAGGCAAGCGGATGTCTGTAATTTATGATATCATTGTTTTTTTATGATTATTTAAAAAAATGGCAATGATGATTTCAAATCTATTTTAATAAACATTTTCTATGAATTATTTCATTTTGTCAATTGGGAAATTTTTTGATCTAAATAAATGATGATCATTATTGTATTGATTGCAGTAATTTTAATACTCTTGTATTGACTAATTGACCAGAATTGATAGCCCATAAGAAATCATTATGATCGTATGAAGGATCAGCAACTAAATAATCATCCCATAATTTTACTTTCAATTCGTTTTTAAATTTTTTCACATTTTCGATATGATTTAAGCAATCGATTTCTGAATAGAACAATGCAATTTTAGTGGAATTTATTCGACTAAAATCATAAAATGGTGCTTCAGATTGGCCATAAAGTTTTTGGTTTTTCTCTTCTCCATAATCAAAATATCGTAACCAAAGTGGTTCACCATACAACTGAACAGTATTCCATGGGGATGAACCCATCATTATTGCATCAATGTAGGCGGGTATTCGTTCCTATTATATATTATGAAATCAGATTAATCAGATGTGCTCGTTTTGGATGACTTACATGAATCATGTTATGTTTTTGCATTCCAACAGATAAATATATTAAATATTGACAAAATGGCTTTATCAATATATTCTGACAAAGGTTGGGTATCAGAAGTCGAGTTGGATTTTTTAACACAATCAAATTGGGATATGCTCTGTGATTGTAAATATAAGTTAATTAATATTCAGTTAAAAAATTCTATCAATTTAGTACTTGAGCAATCCTTTTAAGTAATAAAGTAGTCGAAGAATCGATGTATTCTTAAGGCCATGAGTCACTGGTGACAAACCGATGAAGGCATCAATCTTTTTCATATAATCATCGCTTAACGACATCAATCCATACATCATAAGATTGCCTTGTGAATGACCAATGTAACTTAATGTAGGACGATTTGTTCTAGCTAAAATATAATCAATTTCTGCTGGTAAATCATATTTAATCATTTCATCAATCGAAAATTTCCAGAATTCAGGATCTATTTCATACGAAAGCGATATTTATGTAATATAGTTTGATAATCTATATAACACTTACCATCAGTATTTAGTGTGGTATGATTGGTCGAATAAATATTACCACGATAATTAGCAAGCCACACATCATAGCCATATGCAGACAAAACAAATCCAAGACTGTTTCCCACCTGTTGACTGCCATTTGTCAAAATTTTATTATCAGTATCGTAAAATTCGTTGAAAAATCCCAACTCATCAAGTGAACCATTTGCTGCTGTCAACCAAATTGTTGCCGAACAAAAATATCCATGATGAAGTAATACTGGCTTTAAAACAGTTTGATTATCTTTCAAATATGGATTGATTAACCGAACCAATTGTAGAATGTAGCCATCTTGGGTAGTAATAAAATGTCTTTCATATCGAAAACCTCTTGATTCAATTAATCCAAACTATTTGATCAATATCATTAATAAATTTAACCAATTTACAAAGATTCTCACTTACAATATCTCTATCAACATCCGGATGTAGTTTTGTACCAGGCATCGCTCGAACCACATTGATCCAAAGATTGACAGTTGTGTAGTAACGAACTAGGTAGAAAATACCAACCATAATAACAATAGAAAAGTTGAATTTATTGAGAAAGACATTTTTAGTTTTTTTTATTGTCTTTCGTTTTGTTTCTAGTTTTGACTCCATCAAGATCACTTATTTAACCCAATAACTTTATAAATGATGAAAGTTTGGAAGAATATTGATTCAATTGAAACGATATTTTTTATTTTTGAAAAATACGAATTTTTCTTAATATTTTATCACTATCAACATTGAATATCAGCCGAAAACGATCGATAAATGCAAGATAGCATTCATATCATTAAGTTGTCCTTGAATGAAAATTCATTAAGATGATAACAATTAACGTCAACATCAATGATTGGTATTGAAAAGAAGTAGCAGAAAAAAGTATTGAGAAAACCTCTTTTCAACATAATTAATTATTTAGTAATTTATTTATCAAATTGTATTCAACGAATCCATCATTCAGGTAGCTTCTGTTAAATATTACAATCAAATAAAAACAAATCAATCAATTAGACTACATCGAATGTAGGTACATGTCTCTATCAAATATTTTCTGAAGTTTATTCAAATTAAACTGAAAAAAAATAAAAAACATTAAGCTGATGATAATATTTTTAAAATTCTTCTATTGACGACTTGTCCGACATCTTTTGCCCAGATTAGATCAAGATGATTATAACTTTTATCTGGTACGCAATAATCGTCCAATAATTTTACTATAATTAGAAATTTGTCAGAAACTAAAATCATGTTACATTGAATCATTCAATTACCTTTAAGTTTTGATTTTAGGAATTCAATACTTTCTAAACTATTCAACCAATCACCACTCGTATAGATTAAAGCCATTTTTGTCGAATTAATGCGGCCAGCATCATAGACTGGTGGTTTAAGTTGACCATACCATTCTAGATTTTTCCATAGTCCATGATCAAAATATTCTGGTTGTCCATTAGGAGCTTCTATCATTTGCATAAAATGTGCCGCATTCCATGATGATGAACCGCCTGGTGAGGATGATAAATAGACGGGAATACGATCCAAAATCATATTTTGTGTGAAAGATCCAAAAAATGGATAAGTTACTTGGAAACATAATTTTCGTATGTAGATATTCTGACATATATGTGCAACCAATGATCGAGTCGTATTTGAATACGGCACCATTCGAGGAAAAGCTCTTTTTATCAGAAAAATGATTATCAAAGAAACATTCTTAATTTATTTTGAAAACTCACCTCAAAATGGTTTTTATTGGAGTAATAGCTCTTATTGCCGATGACATATTTAGATTATAGAATACTGGTGATAAAGCTATGAATGGATTAATTTTACGTGCATATCGATCACTGATCGACATTAATGCCAACATCATTAAATTTCCTTGAGAATGGCCAATATAGCTAAGTTTTGTGCGCTTAGTATGTTTCAAAATGTAATCGATTTCAGCTGGCAAATCGAAGTGTATCATTTCATCCATAGAGAATTTCCAGAATTCTTCATCAGTCATATTTAATGTTGTATGATTGGATGAATAAACACTGCCACGATAGTTAGCCAACCAAACATCATAACCACGTGTTGCTAATACATAGCCCAATGTATTCGCAACTTCTTTAGTACCGTTGATTGTAATCGGACGATTTTCCGAATCTACAATGTATTCAATGTAGTTTCCATAACGATCCAATGTTCCATTGGCTGCAATCAACCATAAGGTCCCGGTACATTGGAAACCATGCTGAAGTAATATGGGTTTCAATCGTCTTTTTTTGGTTCCAGTCACGAACGGATTGATCACACGTACAAGCTGTAAGATATATCCATCTTGTGTTTGTACAAAATGAGATTCATATTTGAATCCACGTGATTTGATCAATTGATACTAATATAAGTATGTTTGTACATTAATCAAAACAAAACTAATATCAAACAAAATATAATCATTCATTGCTTACGATATCACGGCCGGTATCTTCATTTTGATATGATCCTGGTAAAGTTTTGTACATTGAATATGACCATAATGATAGGGTCATATATAATTTCCACAAATAATCATCCCAAAACATTATCGATGTATTTTTTATGTTTCATTCAATCACTATCAATGTACACTTATTGATCGTTTCATTAATATTGGTGAATTATGTTTGTTTTTTTATTTCATTCAGATTCTCTTTCAACGTCATTGATTATTTTCCTCATGACAATAATAATATTTACGTACATATGTGCTGCATACATTCGTTTCGTATTTATTGTTTTTTTCTGCAATTTTTTGCAAAATGCTCATTCAAACTATTATGATAATCGGATCCGATTATTATTATTATTATTCGAAGACAAAAAAAAACAACAAATTCCTACAAACAAATATTTTTTTTTATGACAAAGAATAAAACCTTTGACAATGTAGCAGAGCTGATATCATATAGTTTGTCAAGGTCAACTTTTCCTTTTTGCTAATTGTAAAACAATTTAAGCAAAACAACAATTTATGAATGTTCATAGCAAATTTTTATTTCATATTAGATAATGAATAACAATGTTTTGGTTATAATGAGAAAAAATATATTTTTTAAATAAATTCTTTCTGAATGTTTCCAACACAATATGTGTTTCAGCCTTTTTCATTCAAATTGATTTTTTTTTATTTTACAAGTACGTTCATACAAATACTGTTCTTAAAAAGTTTGTTTTGACAAAAACTGATAGCTCAGATCGATTGATTAATCAATGCGAACAAAAATAATTAGAAATCGAAATTGAAGAAAAAAAATCTACAAAATTTATCAACAAAAAAATAATAAAAAATTCATTATATTTTGATATGATAATTTTCATTTATTTCAACAACTGTACAATTTTATCAACAAATTTTTCTAATTACACAATCTAATATAGAACAGTATTTAGGTGCAAATTGCATACGGACATTTGTTCAATCATAGCGTGATAAAAGTTTGATAATTTTGTGATTAACCAGTTCACCTAGTTTCTTGGCCCAAATAAATGACAAATGATCCCATCCGGGCTCTCTAATTAATAATTCGTCCACTAAATCGTATCTTAATTTTTCTTTTATTCCATTAACATCTTCCAAACTATCATAGCTATCGAATTCCGAATAATATAATGCAATATGACTTGAATTTATTTTTGATAAATCATATTCTGGAGCATCTTTCCTTCCATAAATTTTCATATTTTCTTCTTGTCCATAATCAAATTGTTTAACAATACCCAATGTTCTGTCTATTTGTTGAATAGCATTCCAGGAGGAGGCTACTTCTGGTAGCATTGAAAAATACACCGGCACTCGATCTAATCGTAAAACATTTGGATCAAAACCAATCATCAAATCTACAAACCATCGAACCACCCAAACTAAATATTTATTCGATGCTATGTTAGACATTATTTCTCTTGATATTTCCAATCCTCTTGGGGTTAACAGAAATGGTTGAGGACGTAATTTCCTTTTTTAAAACAAAAAAAAAAAGAAATTATTAATAAACAACATTAATTATACACATTACTTGAAAAGTGGTTTCAACACTGAAATATAAGAAATGGGAGCACGCAATTTCACATGAGTCCATGATGGAGCCAGAGCAATAAAAGGTCGAACTCGATCTTTGTAACTATCAGTGATGGACATCAAAGCCAACATGAGCGTATTTCCTTGTGAATGTCCAACAAAGCTTAATGATGAATGTTTTGTATGGCTAAGAATATAATCAATCATAGCTGTTAGATCATATTGAACAATGTCGTCGAGTGAATATTTCCAATATTCATCATCTGTGATTTAGTGAAAATTATTGAAAATTTCATTTTTCTAAAATGAAAATCTTACCTTCAGGCGTGTATAAACTATGATACGATGAATATGAATTCGCTCGATAATTTGCTAACCAAACATCATAACCACGAGCTGATAATACAAATCCCAATGTATTTCCCGCTTGTTCGGTGTTATTATTAGCATGACCATGCTCATCATATTCAATATAATTGCCATACTCATCCAAATGACCAAATCTATTACTAACAAAGACTCCGCATGAACTGACAAGACCATGAAACAAAAGAATTGGACGATGTTGTGTTTGGTTCTTGTTGAAAGGATTCACAATTCGTACCATTTGAATGTGAAATCCATCTTTGGTGATGACCATGTGCGATTCATATTTGAAACCTCTCGATTCAATTATTTCGAACTAGAAACAAAAAATCAATATATTAATCTATTTTTATCAATTCAAATAACTTACCGCATTACGCCCATGATCTTGATCTAGATTATAACCGGGCAATTTTCGCAAAATATTCACCAAAAGTTCTGCTGTGAAATTTGCGTATATTAAATAGAAAACGATAGCATTTATCACAGTTACTACAAATAAAAATTTGAAACGATAATTGATTTGTGATATTTTTGAATCAACTCGTTTATTGTCACTAATATTGACATTTTTGTCAACACTAGTAACATTTTTGAATCTCTGCATTTTGTCTTTTTTTAAAAACCACAATAATTAATTTATTTAATTGAAACTTTTTATTTAAATATTATCCATTTTGAATTGAGAACGGATGTTTTGTGAAATTTTTTATCGTATGTATTGATAAAATTCTCATATAATATGTAAAAGGAAAAACATACAATTTATAAGGATATGTAGTGAGGTTGGATGTTAGTATGAGGAAAATATGTTCTCAGTTGATAAATAATTTCTTGTTCTCAAGAAATACTATTATTGGGTACCATAAGAACAAAAAATGTTTGACATCAAATTCAACCCAAATGATCGTAAGATTAATTTTGCACTTTTATTCATTCGATTGATAAAGTAAATCAAATGATTACTGGATTTATTTCGTTATCTTTAAAATGTACCATTTGTAATAATTATTCACATACGATTACAAAAAAATTTCATTTATCAATCAAACCATATTTGACAAATTTTTATATGAAAAATGAATTTTATTATGTTTATTTATTGAATGAGGATTATAAAATGATGAAAATGCATTTTTACAATGAAAAAAAATCACTAATTTCATTTAAATAGAATAAAATGATTGTCATTTGTATATCATTCAGTAGATTTTTCATTGTACAATGAAAGAAGGCTCAAAATTCTCTGATTTACGAGAACACCCGAATATTTGCTCCAAACAAAGCTCATATGATCAAAATCTGGCTTATCAATAATGTAATCATCTAGTAATGGTTTTGATAAATGTTGCTTCAATTGTATATTGCCTTCAATCGAACTAATTCTATCATTTATCGCTTGGAAGAATGCCATATGTGTTGAATTGATACGTGAAACATTGTAGACAGGCGGTTCGGATTGATTATATAACAGTAAATTTTTCTCTAAACCATAATCATAATGGCTGACTTGACCTTTAGAACGTGTTTGCATATGATGTATAGCGTTGTCATTCGATGCACCCGATGGTATATTATAAATCTGAACGGGAAAACGATCCACTCTTATATCCGAAGTTTGATATCCAACTGATAAATCATAAATATTATAACAAATCCATCTTATCATACGATTTGAGCAAAGTGTTGACAAAACTGAACGAACAGTTTTCATATCACGAAAAAACAATGGACCTGGTGATAACCTAAAAAATAAATTACATGGAAAGTTATTTATTGAAAATGAGTTTTTTGATTATAATACTCACTTTAGATAAGGCTTCAATATATGAGAGGAAACTAGTATGGTGCGAACATTAGTCAGATACCATGTTGGTGAAAGTGCTATGAATGGTTTGACTAATTGCTGATAATGATCACTTTCGGACATCAAAGCTAACATAAGAATGTTTGCTTGTGAATGTCCAATATAGCTTAATGACGAATGATTGGTATGATTCAATATATAATCAATCATTGATGGTAGATCTATATGAATCATTTCATCCATTGAAAATCTCCAATATTCCGGATCATCGATGTCTAATCGTGTATGATTCAATGAATAAACTGTTCCACGAAAATTCACTAACCACACATCATAGCCACGTGATGCTAAAGTAAAGCCCAATGTATTCGTTATTGTTTCCGAACCATTGATTAGATTTTCATTTTCATTCCATTCCAAATATGTTCCATCTGAATTTAGATATCCAGGATTATTCATAAGAAATTCCGAACCTGTACATTCGATACCATGTGCTAAAATCACCGGACGATAAAGTGTTTGATTAGGTTTGATGAATGGATTTACTAGACGAACTAATTGCAATATATAGCCATCTTTGGTTTCAACAAAATGGGATTCATATTCAAATCCTCTTGATTTTATCAATTCAAACTAATAATAAATAAATTTAATGATATCAAGAAGAAAAAATAGATAAATTTATTTATTTAAAAAAAAACTTAAATTACTTACAATATCGCGACCAACATCGTCATCGAGTTCAATCCAACCAGGTATGCGAGGATAAATAGTATTGAATGTTTCTTGTATAGAATATTTTGATGCAGAATAAAAAAGAATCGAACCAATCACTAGCAATATAGCCAAAGTATTGATTTTATTTGCTAACAGAATCGATTTATGTTCAAGCATTATGAAATAACTATTTAGAAAAAATACATTCGAAAAAAAAACAATGAATGATTTCAATGGATTCATGCCTTTTTAAATTAGAAATTTGATTGCTGATAAAATGTATTCGAAAACATATTACGTAAAGGAAATATTGATACAGGGAAAAATTTGCAAGTACATTTCGTTAAATATCATATGGGTTTTTTTATCGCATCCATATACATCCAAATGACGATTAACCATCATTTAATTTAGATTTAAAACATGCGTACGCAATTTTTCTCAATGAAATGATCAATGAAATAAACAATATTTGTCATTAGTTTGACGTAGTGTCTAATAGTGTCAAAGACCAATGTTTTTGTTTTATCAAATCAATTCGTTTCTTAATTGAATTTTTATTTATTTATTTTTTTTTATTTCCTTATATTCTTGCGCTATCATTCATATTATAATGATGAATTTTGTTAAGATAATAAGGAAAGATTTTCAAAGATTTGGCCATAAATCAAAATGAACAAAAACAAACTTGTTGATATGCGTTTCGCCAGCCACCGGATGTAGGTTTTCATTCTTTTAACAATAACGCCATCTGTGATCGAAAAAATTTATCAATAATTGTTGCTTACATCAATTTTTTCAGAATACTAAATGTTGTCATGAACAATTATTTGTATTTCAAAAAGAAAAATCGGTTGATTTTTTTTTGACAAAAATAAAGAATTTCAATATCATATTTGAATCATTTTGTCTAATCGATTTGTTTATTAAAATCTTTTCAAAATCTTTTTCTTTATGTCTAATAGATGGCAATATGATAGCATTTTTCTTAATTTTTTTAGCCAAATAATCTCGGTTAATGATGATTATTATCATTTTCATAATAGCAGAAAAAAAGTGAACGGTTGATTGCATATGTTTTATCATTATTTTCTTTTGTCTTTTTTTCACGATTGAATAATAAATCTTTGATGGATACATCTTTATATGGATTTTATGCACATGGAAATCCAATCGAATTTTTTATTTGCGATTCAAATTAATGATTGTCTATATTTTTTATAACTATTTTATAAATGGATGATTTTTTTCATCTTATGACATTCATCGATTCTTCATTTGATATCGTTTATATCCTTGGGAGATATGTTTTGTTTTTTGTTTTTTTTGTTCATTTTGGTTGTTGTGCGTTTCGGGACGATTGAAAATGGAAAATTGATTGATTTTCAAATCGAAATTTTTGTTTCATTTTCTGCAGTAAACAAAAAAAAATATAAAAAAACATGAATCAATTGAATGCAGATTCCGAAAAAAAATGTGAAAGATGAAAAAAATTCGGCAAATGTTTTGAATTTTTTTTACAATTTTATTCTCGACGTAAACCATGGAAGGAGAGAATCATCATCATCAATGCCAGTAATGGTCATGATGTTTGTGATGGGCGATGATTTAATCGAAACCAAAAGAGAGAAAGAAAAAGGAGAATCAAAATGATGCACCAAACGATAATGATGATCATGGTAGCCGTATTGTGTCAGAATATCCGAACAACAACAACAACAACAGCAAAAATTCTCTTTTCATTTTCATCGGGTTCGCTAACATTAACAGCCTGAGACATCAAAAGTCATTATCATCATAGTTTCATAGAAACGATTTTGTTGGATAAAATGAATTTTGTATATTATATGTACGTTCCAGGAACATTCAACATAACAAATTTAGTCTATTTGTATGTTTGGGTGTGCATATTTTCAATTTAGTTACAGAATTCTACAGTCAATATATATTCTATAATTTTCAGAGATAAACTGAATTAACAATAAAAAAAATTTAAATCTTTATATTCTTTGCTTATAAAACAGACTCATCATCATGGAAAGAAGAGAGAGAAAAAAAATCAAAATAATAATAAAATGAAAAAGAATATAAAAATTTCCTGTCAATGGTTAGATAACTATACACCACATATGTAAATGTAACCAGTGCATCAAGTTCTCAGGAAAAAAATTTATAAAAAAAGGAAATTGACAAAAAAACTCACACGTTCATGGAATGTGATAATGTTATTTGTAATCACTGACAAATGAATGAATGAAAAGAAAAATCAAAAATTAAAATTAAAAACCATATTGAAATCCTCAGTTTCATTTTGTCATTCTTTACTATTCATATATGATAATTTTTTTCTCTACACTTATTTAAACCTTTCTAGTTTGGATGAAAATGATATTTTATTTATTCATTTTTTAATTTCAAATCTGTGAAGTAAATAAGAATTTTGTTTTTTCCTTCGTTTTTTATAGTTTAAATATTCCAAGTAAACACAACTAAAAACTGGAATTGAAACCCAATTTAACGATGAAATTAACCAAAAAAAAACAAAACTGAATGAAAATTTACGATCATCGGACTATCGATATATCTTATGTATAAATAAATATATCGTATCGTTACAATTATTCGTTTTTTTCGATCAATGTATCATTATATCAATGAAAATGAAGTGAAATAAACGCGTGAAAACAACGTTATGCAACATAGTGATATATCACAACGATAAACGTTTTAATATTCGTATATATCTTTGTCAGCCCTCATTTTGTTTAGTATGTAGCAAAATAAATAATTTATTCAAACAAACAAATAAGAATCCAAGTAAAAGATATTCTATCCTATCCTATTTTCAAAACCATCATCATCATCATCATCATCATCATCATTTAAGAAGACCAGTGTTTGTTTGTGTTTGTTTGTTAGTTAGCTAGTTTGTTTGTTTATTTGTTCGTCATCCATTCATTTGTTCGTTTGAAAAATATATTCGTATTTACTACTATTTTTTTCTGTTTACAACAATTCATTCTTTGCTATCATCATCATTCTTGGAAACTTTGAACGTCGACCATCATAGACAAACATATAGATGTAGCAAACATTTACAATCAACGACCAACCAACCAGCTAAAATGTCTTGACAAACATTGTAAAAACATTCAAATTGTACATATGAGGATACCAAAAAAAAAGAAGAAAATTTTTGTCAACTACGACAATGATGAAAACGAAAATTCTAACAAAATAGATAAATAAATAAATAAAGAATGGAAAATACATTAGATTCACTAATTTGAAACTATTTGGTTCTTAATTTCGACGGATTCTTAGAATCAACCAAACAACAACAACAAAAAGGATATAACATGATGAAGATCCAAGAACATACATCAGAATTGATTTCATTTTGTTTTGACCTTAAATATTCGAAAGGGTTTTCATATGATTATAATTAAATTTGAACAAATTTAGCAAATTGAAATTAATTAATATAATCGATACATAAGAGGTATTATACAATACAACAATTAATTCGTATGGTATCAAATTTGATTGACAACAACAAAAATATATTATTTAAAGTAGAAACAAATTATCTTTGTTGTTGTTGTTGTTTTATCAGAAATTTCATTTGTAAAACTAAAACAAAATGAATAAGATAAACTCGAATCTTACTTCTAATTCTTTATCAGCAAACATAAGAATCTTGATGTCATGATGATGATGATGATGACTATCATGAGCATAATGATGAAGACTCATCGTTTTTTTGTTTCATTTAATATAATCTATTCTTGTTGTTCTCATTTAGTCCATTTGTCCATGTTTTTTTTTCTTCAATCATCTTGTTTTCTATTTGTATTTGTTTATATATGTTTGATGTTTGCATTAGAATCGATGGAGAATAAAAGTAATCGTATTATCCAATAAGAGCAAGAAAAAAGAATTTTTTTTTGGTATGTTAGATTCCAGTGTATCGAAGAAATTCAATGCATAATGATGATGATGATCCTGATGATGATGATGGAATCGATATGATAATCGCATACACCACTCACATGAACCATTGAAAACGATATGATAAATTTAGCCACAGCTAAGTAAATATATTTCTGTTTGGAAACTCCTTCTGTATGTTTGGAAAATATCCTCCCATCATCATCGTATCAATGATCATTGATAAACTCATGATGGTCCTGTAGAAACTGAAAAAAATAGAGAAGAAAATAAAATAAAATTGAGTACTCATCGGAAAGTTTTGTCGTATATTATCATTGTAATAATATTATTTTATTTTTCTTCAACCAAACAAACAAAAAAGAAAACAAACCTAGATGAAAAAACAACAATGACGAGAAAAAGGACGGAAATGAGTTAAAAAGAAAAATGTGAAGAAAGAGAGCGAAAAAACGTTAATTGAATTCAAATTGTGTACACTGTAAAGAATGATATATTCCACCCATCCAAACCGAAAAAAAAAGAAAACAGATACCAGAAAAAAATAAACAAACAAGCACAAGTTTTTTTTCTCTCTCTCTTTTACCTAACTATCATAACATCATCACAGTTGGATACTTACTTATTTCGGTGTATAGAAAAATTCTTTATTAGATCCCGATTCTTGGGTCGATATGAACCGATACAAACGGATCCAAATTGACACAAACTCACATACACACCAGGAGCCAATGATGGTAATCAATCAAAATGGCAACTAAGTAACTTATATAAAGAAAATGATCAAAAAAAAAATATCTTACACTGATGACAAGACAATGGAAGAAAATGATATTATTTTTTTCCCCAAAAAATCGAACAATTACTTATTGATGGTTATTTATTTTATATTTGTGACAAATCCACAAATAACATTAATCCATTTTGTACAACCATATACAGAATTTGTTAAAAGGTCAAATCATGAACTTATTCTCAGGGTGAACTAATAAATAAGAAAATAGTTCAACAGATAATTATAATAACAATCATTGGTTGTATGTTCAATTAAACGATACCCAATGGTTTGGGTTGATTTATTCAATCTAATCTAAACAGTAAATAAATAGGAATCCATCCCATCCACATCAAATACAAATTTATATTTGAAATATCAGCAATTTTCAATGTTTTCTTTTTATCTAATTTTGACCATGTTTAAAACTACAAACATACATTGTTATCAATGTGAAAAAAAATTGAAAACAATTTTACAATGTCAACAACTTCGTTTACAATTCTAATTTCGATGTAATTTTTTCT